TCGATGCACTTGTTCACTTCAGTGTCAAGTCAAAAACCAATTACTTTGTTAGCATCAATCAAGAGTTGTTAGAAAATATAAACGTTCCAAACTAGACGAAAGATTTTCAACATGTGCGTGCACTTCGGTAAGATGAAGCAAGAGAGGAAATTTTGACCCTCGAGGCTCTTTAAAAAAAGTTTCGATGCACTTGTTCACTTCAGTGTCAAGTCAAAAACCAATTACTTTGTTAGCATCAATCAAGAGTTGTTAGAAAATATAAACGTGCCAAACTAGACGAAAGTCAAGTAATTGATTAACTTAACCATTAGCAGGAACGGATCCAGACTATAGCAACTGTAGCTCGAGCTATAGTCAAAATTTCCGTGTTTGATTTTCGGAATTCAAAGTTAAGTGTTAATTCTTCCTCTGCTATCAAGCCTCTTAAGTTTTGAAAGCAGCGGTATAGGTTATCAAATGCGACTAACAAACATGCAATGCTGACAATGTGTCATCACAATCCCTCTCCAGATAAGATATAAAACACTGAGCGCAGAATGATCTAATATTAAAACTTAGACGAATCAGAAGTTTCGTTCTTTGTTGACGGTAACCAACCAGACAGGGGCGGACACTTGATCAAATATTGGGGGGGGGGGGGGGCAAGCCTATTGTTTTAATAAGATGACGTCACATTTCCCATTGTTTTAAAACAAAAATCCATTGTCCTCTAAAGTATTGGGGGAGCGGTCGCCCCCCCTCGCCCCCCCAAGTGTCCGCCACTGCAACCAGAATTGAGCTACAGTGGATACTCCGAGCTATAGTCGGTCTGGGGATTTGCTCTGGAAAAGGCATCGAAGACAATGAAACCCCTACTATAATTTTTGGCGCAAGCTATAGTGAAGCTATAGTCAGGTTTGAAAATGGCCTTATAACCAATAGAATATGAGTGTCCACGGTACTTCTCCGCTCTCTGTCTCCTGTAAAACAACAGTGGACTACAGCTCGTTTTCACATCCTGGGTCCCCTGTAATGTTGCTTCAAATTCATGTTCTCAGCTTCTACAAATTCATACGTAACTGCAATTTTATTATCTGCAGGTATCTTCAACATTGGCTAACTTTCGGCACAAGGAATTATTTTACATGTTTTGAGAAGTTCAGAATTTCATATGAATCTCTCTGATTATTACAATTGGCCAGTTTCAAGGGAACTTTATTAAAAACAACCCTTGCCCCTTCTGTCAAAGGGCAACAGGGGCGGTTCTACTCCCACACCCCCTTCTCTGGCGTCCCTGGAGATAGAAAAAGGATGTTCGAAGGAATATTTATGAATACGAAGCAACTATAAACACACATGGTTTTAACATTTGCCCATATAGTGGGCGTGTCCCACAAGCAAGGAGGGCGTGGTCCCGATCCCAAAAGATTTGAGCTATAGTCACCAAAAATCCTGGATCCGCCCCTGATTAGGGGCTACTCTATGCCTTAACCCTTTATATATACACTGTAACATCATAACCACTTACGCCTCATATCTTGTCAACATGGATATTCCACAATAGTATCAATAAAAGAGGCCCAAAATGGCGGAAATTACCAATTTCCCGTACTTGTGACATGCGCAGATGGTGACGCCATCAATATCTAAAATGTTGCTTAAATCGATTCTCAGGACCTTTTAAAAGGTAGAGGATGGCCAATAAATGATGCGACGTAAATCGGTTAAATCTTTCCTTCTTTTCTTTCGATAAAATCGTCCCGGCAGCTACATAACTTGCATGCTGACAACGGCATAATAATTAACGCGTGACATGGGCATAATCTTTCACAAGAACTATCCCAGAGGTCTTCCAAAACTGATACATCTCCTACAAATATCTCAAAACGACTAAGAGCAAAACGAAGGCGACAAGATCATTCACAAGCATCTTGCCCCTAAAACGGTGCATGCCTAAACTGCTTTCTCTTGCTGCTACTTTTCCATAATTCTTCCTGCCTAAGATGAGGTACGGGGCTCCTATAAATACTGAACTAAAAACAATAGACATACGTAAATGAAACGGTGAAAGGAAGTAATTTACTTAGTAACGAGCGGGGTAGGGTAGCGCGATATCCTTAAATACTGGGTTGCTATGGCGATCTACTTAACATGCTGATAATTGACGTAGGTATGAATTTACTCATAATAATACAAAGATTATCCTAATACACATGATAGAAAAATGCGGAACGAGCAAGGAAAATTACAGATAAACAAGAGTGATTAGGTAAGGAAAATTAAACGAATGGACTAGAGAGAAAGGCCTAAAATTAGCAGTATTACAAATACTTTGACACGTGATTTTAGATTGATTTTAGGATATTTGTCTTTAAGCATTTTTTGTTCAGTATTTTATACTTTTTCGATTGATGTTGTTTGTTTTCAAATTTGACGATTTTCATTTTTTTTCTGACCGTTAAAATTTACGTCATCGATCACGTGACATCTAGGGAGAAATTTTTTTGACACCCTTCAAAATTTTAAGGTATTAGTCCAAGGAAGTGGAAACAAGTGAAAAACCTCCGTTTACCCTCTCCGCCAGTTTGTTAGGAAAAATTCCCTGTCTTTTAACCCCTCATTTTTGTACAGAGTTGTCACATTCATCACTGGCGTGACATAGTTCCTCTTATGACATGGTTTCTAAACAGCATGTTTCGATTCCGTATCATTTCGGATCTTTGGAAATATTTTTTATCAAATCTTACCTTTTCTTTGGGCATTATATTTTTCCTAGGCCATCTTTTATACTCTTTTGCTGTTTAGATTTGGCCCTCGCAGTATGATACTTTTTACATCTCCTTCGTTGTTTAGATTCGCCCTCGCAGTTTGATATTCTGCCTTGCGGACTTAACAAAAAAGACATTGGGAAAGTCTACTAAAAATACCCTGTTGGTTCAATTCAGCAATCAATGCTTCCCTGCGTATTTTGACAACAGGATATCCCCGTTTCCCATTCATTTTGAAATACTTCTTGTCTCCTATCATAATCACATTGTTTGCTTCTTTTGATTTAGGGCAGTCAATTTTTTCAAATCCGATTCATGACTAATTTTTATTGCATCATTTCTTTCCTGCCAACACCTTACCACCCAATTTGTTCCTATTCGGTATCTTCTCCAAAATCATGCCTTAGTTGTTTTTCTTGCATTTTCGCACTGTTCAAAATTATATTTTGCTAGTTACGATTATCTTTAGATGATATTGGAGTGCATTTCCAAACGTGATCCCGTGTAGCCTTTTATTCAAAACATGAGAATCTGGCTGAATTTAATCGACGAGAGCAGTTGCTTTTGATATATTGACCCTCAAATAATCATGAAAACCTGAATTTCGAGATTTTTCAGGGAGCAAATTTTTACTAAATAACTTTTATCTTCAGTCGAAACCTGCCATTTCCTGTCAAAAATTGAAATGCTCTTCCAATAAACCTCGTTTGAAGCTCGTGTGGTGATTTTGTGTAAAGTTAGTTTTAACATACCGATGAGTGGTTTTGTTGTCTTCAGTAACACTTTAGCATTTGAAAACGGAATGTTTCAGTTTTCAAATGCTAAATTCTTCTTAAACCTCTTTGTACATCGCTTTCTGTGCGAATCGTCAGAATTGTCTACGATCTAGCCGATATACCATCGATTTATAATCATCAGCTTCTTGGATAAAGGCAACTTATGAAAGGCCAAAATGCATTATAATTAATCTAATAAAATGGAATCACGAAAGGAATAATGCCAGCATCAATTAATATGGACATTCTGGATTCATATTTCAAGTATTGGACAGGACTATACAGAAGGGCATTGAAAAGGTAAATATATCAACCTAACCTTGAAGTTTCCTTTATGGAAAATGGCAAATATATCGACCTGTCCTGTCCCACCGCCGCCACCTTCTCAATCTAACTTGGGCAGTAAAAGTAGTTGGTACACAAAATCAACTTTACACGTCCGTAAAAGGCCTGTGTGTATCCGGTACCTCTAAGTTTAGTAGGACCTATGAACTCTGGCTTTGGACTTTAGCACCTTGTGTTGTGACTACCACACACACACCCTCCTCGTTGAATAGACCGCGAGGAAGGCTTTGTGTACAAATGTAGCGCCCTGTTTTTGCCTCGCATTGCAAACGAGTCTATGGATAGTTTTGTTTTTAGTCATGAAGAGAGGGCACGAAACCTTGGACGAAGCAAGAGATTTAAGTGGAGAACAGACTTTAAAAAAGTTTATTGTAAATGAGAAATTTATCTTTGAAATTAAGCATGCTGAAGCTTATCTTCATGAATGCCCTTTTTTTCGCCAGCCTGCAGAATTCGGTGCCTTTTCTTTGGATATTGATAGAAAATACATGAATACCAACGAGAAGATGAGGGAATATGTACCATCAGTAAAGCGTGATCCCCAATTCGACTTAAACGTTGGCTTTAAAACCTTAACTGCAAGGGACGAGGATGTCCAAGAGAGACTGGACCACTTACTACAGTGGGTCGATCTTCACAGAGACAGATTTAAGTTGTCCACTGACAGTCACCCAGTAAGGTAAAATGATAAATCAAAATATAGTATTTCATTAATTACAGATACTACACTATACATATACTACAGAGCTACTCCCTTTTAAAGTTTTTTTTGTCGTTGAAAACAAGGTAGCTAGTTACAAATTATGGAATAGAGTTATTTGTATTTGTAGCTTTTTGCAATTTTAAATGAAAAGTTTCCTTTACCATTATTATTATTATTTTTATTGATGCCTGTAAAAGCAAGTCGTATAATTGTAAATTTAAAATGTATTCAATGATATTGTTATTATATTATTATAAGTAGTAGAGTATGATTGGTCTGCAGTGTATGGCCGTTCTGGACGAGACCTTGCACATAACACACTCATCTCAGCTGGGTGCACTGCAAGGAAACCACTATTGGCCATGCAAGCAGTGCTTTTCAAGAAAAATTGAGCAACCTCAACATTTCAAAGGATAATTTTAACAGCTCTTGTGTGCCCCGACTCTATTTGGTTCCAACCCTTAAGAAAATACATCAGTATGAAGGAAGTCAATTAACATCAGGAAATTTAGCAAAGCTTTCAAATTCAGAAAATGGTTCATTCAATGTCAAATAATCCAGGATAACTGAAAATTGTGACCAATATGACCATTATGCAATTAGTTTTTGTGTGTGCAAATTATAATGTATCCTCATGATGCAATCAAAGTGTTTGCTTGCATTTTGTCCCCTGGCATTTTTTCTTCTATAATTGACACAAATGTATGAAATTGGCAATGAAGGGTGCTAAACTCAGATGATATCAAATCAAAGATATTCTGAAAATAAATTGCAGTATTACAGTGTAAAATCTTTTACATTGAGGCTCAAAAGCTCTTATTTTTGGCAGGGATATTAAGGGTGTGGCAGAAATATTTACAGAATTGAAATACTATTTTTGAAAACTGCAATATTTGTTCTACTAATGTGAAGAGAATAATCCTTTGATATTGTATGGTACAGTTTTTCTAAGCATTTAGAGTTAATAGTTCAAAATTTCAATTAATTGAATTGGGATACATACATAATAATTAACATGAAAACTATTTGGAGGCCATATCAGGAACATATTTGCAGGTGTTTAGTCAATAGCACTTCTTAGCAAATCAAGGAGTGCAATGGGGTGCTATTTCTATTTTAGCATTTAATAAAGTATTTATGAACGTGTATGGAAAGTACAAAATTTGAAACGGTGCAAAGCTAGCCATACCTTGGTGTGCAAAGCTAGCCACACTAAAACAATATTGGACGTGCATTTGCCATACTCTGCAGACTAGGATAATGGGAAAAAGGGTGAATAAATGAACATCAACTGAACTGTTAGCACAATGGAATGTCAGCAGAGGGTTGTCATACTATCCAAAAGTCCATGTTTTTCTCATAAAATTCTTCATCTCTTGTTTCATCTGCAAATGTTATAGATATCAAGAATTTAATATTACACAAATTTGAATTCATGTAATTCAGCAAAACAATTATGGTTTACAATTTATTGTGATAATTAATTAACTGGCTGTAAAGAAATTAAAATAATTAAAGAACATCATTTTATAGGTTCAGCTGGCTAGAATACTGAGAGGACCAAGTGCATAGCTGGTTATAATTTCAATTATTTTTCAGCTTGCATACAGATTTCTTAACATGGCGAGGGCATCTTGTAAAAATCCTCTTGACACCCTATGAGAAAAGGGAGCCATGGCGGATGGATGCTTGTAAACACAATGGTACAATCTTCATATCTGAAGTTGAAACTGAAGAAAAAAGAGTGCAAAGATTGAAACAAAGTGAGAGACAAAAAGAAATGTGTTACTGGGGATACAAATTTGAGGATTACATGACAAAACCGTTGTCAGGTAAGAAAACCTTGAGATACCTTAAAAAGTATGAACTGATTATGATATATTTCTCAGTTTTTTAATTAATGGAGCAGGAGTTTATATAATTAATGGGGCAGGAGTTTATATAATTAATGGGAAAAAATCATTATGTGGTTGTAAGCAACATTTCCTGGATGTTAGTGTTATCTTGAAGTACCCTTAGTTGCAAACAATGTTTCTTAATCTTTCAAAGTATATCTTATTGGATACAAGGGAGTATAAAAATCATGCTTCCTGGCAGGAGTACAAATTATGGCACAAGTGTTAAATATAATTATTAAGACTTAGAATGTAAATCAATTTCTAAAAAATGACTGAGTGAGCTTTTTATTGTCTATTGGTTTAGTTTGAAAGTTTAGTAATAGATGTTGTAATATTTGATTTAGGGAATAAAGCAACAGAGAAGTGTTCAAAGAATGTAACAAACAATTGTGAAGCATACTGCAGTGTTGTGCGGACAAGAATGAGCAGTCACTCACTGGTGTTTGGAGCTGAAGTTGATTGCTGCACCTTGACAGATGGCAAAGTAAAGGGACCAGGTTCTTATGTAGAACTAAAAACCACAAGAATATTAGACAACCCACGGCAGGCCAGGAACTTTGCGAATTTTAAGTTAATCAAATTCTGGGCTCAGAGCTTCCTGGCAGGAGTACCAAAAGTGGTGTGCGGAATGAGAGATGACAATGGCATTGTAAGAAAAATTAAAAACTATGTTACTTTAGACATACCAGACATAGCTTTAAGGGAGGGTGCAAGATGGAAACCAGCTGTTTGCTTGAATTTTCTTGATCAGTTCTTGCAGTGGATGAAAGAAAAGGTTGTTGATGATGACCACAATGTTGTGTACTCTTTCAGGTATCAAGAGCCTTTTCATGTAATTGAGATGAAGAGACTCCCCTATGGTGAAGAATGTTTTCTTCCGGATTGGTTTTTAAAGTAATTCAAATAAGGTTTGTAAATTTTATCAAGCAGATAAAAGTATAACTTGAACCTATTCACTTATTTGTTTGAACCTTGCAGCTAAATCAATGAGATATATGTGAATATATGATCCTGCAAACAGGGGGAGGGGGCTAGAGACAATATTCAAGGTGCTATGATATAGCATTTGACATAGCTGCATAGCTGCTAGAAAAGAAGGTCTGCCAACAGAAATGAAGATGCAACCATCTGAAAGGGCTTTTGGATATTTTTTCTCTAAAAGCAAACTGCTTTCTCAAAGGCAGTTGGTTGCTGAGTGTTTTACCATCTAACTTCCCAAGTAAGAATACAAAACTCTTATAAGGAATTCATGAATTGGCTTACTTAAATCTTAGAGGGGGTGATGAAGCCACCCTTGCGAAAATTTCAAAAAAACTTTCTTTGTATTTGATGTAACACAAGAAAAACAGTATCAAAGAACATTGCTCTTTGTCATTGAATAAACTGATTAGATAAGAAAAATTGACACCATCTTATATTGTTTTAACCATATCATTTATCTCTGTTGTTATTTCATTTTTCAAATGAGAAGTTGCATTTCGAATATCGCTGATTTCTTTCTTTATTGTCTCAATTTGATATTGCAGAGAAGGCAGTTTCCTTTCTGCAAAATCAATTCTATTGTTGTTCTCCTCAATCTTTGTTTTCAACTTTTCAATTTGATCCTCTAGTTCGTATTCTTTATTCAAACTTTCATCGTTTTTGGCTTCTATTGCCGATATTAGCCCATCATCTTTTCTAATAACAGATTCAAGGTCTTCCATTTGGTCTTCCCTGCTCCTCATTTTTTCCTCCATAACATCTACTTCTCTCTTCAGCACACATACCTTCCTTTTCCCTTCTTCCAGTTGTGTGTAATTCTCTTCATACTTCCTTCTCGCCATGCTTACTCTCTGTTGCATGCTATCAATACGCGAGTCATGCACTTCCCCTTTTGCTTCAATTATCTCGACTGCCTTTACATGGTCTTCGTCGCAGTTTTGTATATTTTCTAGACGAGCAGTACTCTCTTTCAGCTGCTTCTTTGCTGTAAAAATGTGTTGTTCTAGAGATTTCATATGCCTCTGCGTGTCTTCAATGTGTAAGTGGTGCGCTTCAAGCGTCTTGGCTGCTATGGCATTTTTCGCTTCAAAGTCATCAGCTAGAGCATTCGCTGCGTCGATTTTGTCTTTTACTTCGTCCATCTTGCTTCTTATTTGTTCCATGTTTGCAGTATAAATGACGATGAAATTGACGAACTGATAATTTTCCTTGTATGAACAATACTTGCTTCTGGAGGCAGTTTCCCGTTCGGATAATGCAACGAATCTTTATCGAAAGATTCGACGGAGAAGTTCGTAATTCGAACGCGCTTTGCCGAAGAGTTTGCTCAGTGTTATGCCAAGCACTTACCTGCATTTGTAGACATACAAACAAGAGTATAACAGACGATTTTCCACTCCAATTTCACTGTTTATGGTTGTTTTGGGCACCTGATTTGGATGATATCTTAATAAATCTGTTTGTGTCCAATGAATCTCTATCTGAACAAATCTGAATTTTCACGGTGGCCATTGACCTGCATCAGTTATTATTCATGGTCAACTCTTCATCTTAATTTTTGTTTATTTATTGGACTTATGATGTATCGAACCGCACAGATATTCTTAAATTGTACACTTCGTTATTTCGCTACTTTTGAAAATTTCCGATTGGAGTTTCAAGGCCTACAAAATTTTTAAAGTTGATCTTTTACAGTCATAAAAAAATGAACATATCTTGTGAAAATTTTATGGAAATATGTCGTTTGCATTTAATAGTAAGGACGTGAAAGAGTCTTTCAGAATTCATTGCATAGAATTTCTTCGATATTTAGAAGGTGTCCTAATACATTTTTGAACGTTAGTGTAGAAGCGACGTCACAAACTGGCCGTGTCAAGTTTTTTTCACCGTTTTAACACATCATATGTCGAAACTAATCTGTTGACAGTTCTTGCTATTTTACATACCGTTTGCTAATCTCTCCTCTTTTACTGACAAACCTCTCAAGGCATAGAGTCAAGTTAAGAAACATAAATTCACCCGCTAGATTTATGTACACTATTTACGAAAGGAAAATAATTACCAACTGTTAGTTTTCACGCAATATTTACAAATAAAAAATACACTTTCCAGAAGTTAGTCAAACATCTATCGCTATGAAACATGTTAAATTTCCCTTGTTAAACGCCCTTTAAAGTTGGTCTAACTTTATTGAGAAAATTTCCCTAATTAAATAACCTATGTCTTCAATAAACCCAAATTACATAATGGAACAATTTATAAGCGTCTTTAAATATTTTCCACCAGTTGCTGAAGTGTTAAACATCTAAAAACATTCTATTTCTAATTATCCAACTGGCATAGCATGGCTACACCCCGATTTACCCAGTGCCGCTCGTCTTTGTCGCTAGGCAATGCCATGTACATGACGAAATTTGTAGAATGGCCTGTAGTGGAGAGAGTACCTCGACGCGCTGTAGTTTTGTAGACTGGGCACGTGTAACATGGCTTTGGCTTGAATTTTTTCTTTTCACCTGGAATTATCCAGATCTAGATTTGATTTAAGGACAAAGCTAAGAATGATTTTAACATGATTTACTTATCAGCCATCATTTATCATTACTGTTGCTGGGAAGGTCTTATCGTGAGAAAAATGAGATAAGGGTCTTTGGTGAGATAAAGTGAGATCAGAATCATTGGTGAGATAAAGTGAGATCAAAATAATTGGCGAGATAAATTTATCACGCAACCTAGAAAGCGATACACAGAGCATTATTTTAGCCAATTTGAGATGAATTTCAGTCTTTTGGCATCATGAGATAATTACAAAAGTCAAGTGTACAAGTTACGATCCCCTCTACAAAGGATACAGGAAGGTGAATTCTATTTTATACGTTTGGTTGGCATCTAGCTAGCAAAGCTATTCACGGTTCTATAAAAGATTTCACCAGGTCTATGATAGACATTTCATATGCCTTAATCAAAATGACAGCGGAATGGCATTGAAACAACGTCATAAGAAAGGATACGTTAGGCATTTCATCGTAAAGAATTTTAGGATTAGATTCGCCGATTACTTTTGCTTCCATATCCCACTTGGCTCCTTCGATGAACAGGCCCTGTGAAAAATAAATTGAAATTTAACTTCGGCAAGCCATGAAAACGTCAAGGTATAACATGTTCTTTAAAATTGCATGATTTAGATTCAATCACTTTTGCTCTATTAGTCATGGAAAGGCTTGCAAATTTTTTGAATGTAAGTACTCACTCTTACGAAGGCACCGTTCTCAGGTTTACGGTCCATAGCTCCATGGCAGTCCATTATATTAAACTCAAATCCAATATGGTCGATGGGAATCTTGAATTTCCGTGCAAAGTTTTGGGCTGCACCTGGGCGTCAATGAATAAAATCGATTATAACATGTGATTAAAAAAATAATCTCAATCTATGGTTTATCGCTCCATATACTAATGGTTACGAATAGTAGCTCATAGTTACCTGTAAGAAATGACTGCGTAAAGTAAAACCCTGATATCCAAAATACATTCGGGGTTCCATTTTCGATCCAGTCTTGGAAAAATTTCAGTCTACAAGAAAGAGAGACGTTGCTTAACATAAATAGTTGTAAGGAAAACCCAGATAAAATAGGCCAGAATGTGGCAAATTAGCCAAATAATTCCCTAACACACACGGTGATCTTCCGGCCCGCCATACAGGCTAGTTCTTTCGTTCCCGTTTGTGACGTCACAGTCTTCGCTTTCCGATAATGTCAAGCCTACAGCTCTACCCTTACTTCCAATACCGGTGCTTAAATGTAAACGACGAACCTTTCCAGTGGTATGCATGGTTTGTATTTGTGATTATTCTTACTTTCAGAAGAACTTTAGTTACGATGTTTAAAAAATATGAAGAAGCGAAAGACCTTTCAAGAAGATCAGTAATGTAGCTGCCAAGCGGTTTGAGTGAAGGGTATGATTTCGAGGCCCAAACCGCGGGAACTTTGCCAATCAACATGTTGTTGAAGACATCTTCTAGTTCTGATGACATCACCACAAGACCCTAAAAGACAGTTAAGACCATTCCAAGGAATAAGGCAAAAAACAGTGAGCCTGTAGCAGAGTAAACAACAACAGATAAAACGAAAATAGCAAATACAGCAAAATAATTAATCTAAACAATTGAGGTGAAGAGGCTTCTTTATAATGGATTACATTGATGAGGTAAAGTAAAATTAGACGAACTTGCATAAACACAATTACAGTTTTCCTGTGTTTGCCCATCTCGTTACGATATCATAAATTCCCAAACTATGTTTAAGGTGAAAATGTAACAAGTATAGAAGTCAAAACGTCTTTGTATAGGTCATAAATATTATGTTGGGATGACAGGAGGCGAATTTTGTAGCAGCGTTCAGAACCTGGCGAAGCAGTGTATTTCTAATTTCACGGATTGTAGGCTGCTAGAATCCAGAACCATTTCATCTATTTGCGGTCATAAATAAAGGCATATAGGATCATGCAAACGATACCAACCTTGATAGCTTTTTGTATATTCTTCAAAGTCGAGACAACGACCTCCGTCAGCCTATTGAATCGAATGAGCTCCTGGCGAAGCACTGTATTCATCGACTCGGTGTACTGAACTGGGTATTTTTCAATAACCATCTCCAAGTCATAAGGTGGCGGGAATTTCGCTAGGATGTCAGCTGCCAGGTCAGCGACCGTTTCGGCGGACGATTTGCCGCCACCGTCACTTTGGCGTGGCAGAGTTAGCAAAATACAATCAAAGAGCTGAAATGAATTAATAAAAGAAAAAAGGTAATAGGGTTAACCGGCGTTGTATTGTCAAACATATCCACAATCAAAAGGTTGTTAAGCAGTGGTTGAAAATTGAAACTGGGTTGATTTTCAAACTAGATCTGCGGGAAAATAATAGTACAGCTTGCTAACATGGCTAGTTAGCTCATTATATCTCTGTTTCTCACAACAGTCTTGGAAAATGACAAGCTAAACATACAGTTAGAAACATATGCTTAGTAGGTAGTAAATAAACCAATTGTCGTGACTGTTGTGGCTATGGGAGAAAAGGTACTGAATTCTTAACTAACTTCTTGCGTTTCCTTCTGGTCCTTTGTGATATCAGCATTTTCATGGAGCCCAAAAACCTCTGGATGCGGATTCAAAGGCAGATTTCTAATGTATTCCAGGTAGCTGTCATATGCACCTTTGGCAGGGGCGTGATATGTGCCACTCGGGGAGAATCTGCGTCAAATGATAAAACAGAGGTGAAAATAGAGCGAATTTGAAATGATTAAACAACAGTAGGAAGGATGAATAAAGTACAATGCGGTTTATTAGAATCCCCTGTCACGTTCATCTAAAATTATGATACTCATTGGTTTCATTTGTATTTTATTGAGATTGGGTGTATAATATTGTATCAAATAAAAAGTTTATCACACAAATATTATACAAAAATTGTTAAACATTTATTACATTACACAACCACCTATTAACGTTGCTGTCGCGTTTTTGATGCGTTACTGCTGACAAAAAAATATACCATAAACTATGAATAAGGTTTTTTGCCTGCAACAAAGCTACGTAAATGAAAGTACCACAGGGCTTGAAATATCACCTGTAATCGTCATTATTGACAATGTCATCGCAGACGAATATTGACAAAATTGAGAGAAGAAGACGCCTGTCCTTGTCATCAGTGACACGTCCCCCATAGTTGCATTCACCAAACAAGTAGGTGAGGGCTTCAAGCGGCAGTTCCTTGTACTCATTCAAGAACATCTAATTAGAGAAACGTAAATACTATTTCAAAACATAATATGTTTATTTTCAAAGTAACTGCTGTTTAAACAAGCAATTTATTGTGTAGTTTTATGTATAATTATACAATAGCCTGAACGGTTCTGCTTACATCCAATCTTTACAAACATTTTGCTATAATTTTTAACTGAGATATGCTTCTCATTTAATGCAACTACAACTGCTTTTAGCTTTCTTGGGTACTTCCCTTGCTATCCATCCATACTAAAGGTAATCACTTAATACTTATTTGTGAATAAAATTTCTGAATTACCTGCAATTGTCGCATGCTTATTCTTAAATCTGATTCATTGAACTCGTACGGGATGTTCCATCCAAGTGGACCAAACTTTCGTCTCTCTTGCACCAGTGCATGGAAAAAGCACAAACCGAACAACATTTTTTCCCATTCTTTTGGCTTGTCACAAGCAGAGAAAAAAGTCGCGTCTGATATGGGATCATTCAGGTAAGATCTCAAGATATTGGCACGAAGTCCCTTGGGAGGCTCATTTGTCATTTTAACACCTAAAAAATATTGCATTATTAACTGTAGCAGTATGTTTTTGTTCCAAAGCTCACTTTAGTGTTTGAACAAGTAAAATACTTCTTAAAAAAATAAAGAAATATGAACAAATATATTCCATACTGCAGAGAGCAGGTATTTTGCCCAAATATAGTATTATGCCCAAATTTAAAATTATGCTCAAGTTTAGATTTGGAAAAAGAAACCCACCGTTTTGGAGAATCGAGACTGGAAAGTCCGGCGACGGGTAGCTTGTCAACCATAGCCTGAAGTTTTCATGTGTGTTTTCTGGTACAATTACTTCCTCGCATGTTTTCTCTAAAACCGGCATCCAACTCGTTGCAAGATGACAATTTTGAAGAACAACCCAAGTTCCAGCAACCAAAGCCTTTTCAATCATCTTTGCGGCTATTGGACCCTGTCATAAAAAGGCATTTCGCAAACATCCAATCACTTAAGAACAAAATGTTTTTTCTAAAATTTGATACTGTTTCCAATAAGTAATATCAGAAACTCCAAAACAAACACGAAGCATAAAGGTGGGCATCTCTAGATGCCAGCTACACAATAACAAGGAGGTACGCCGCACAATTGGCAATGTGTTAAGAGAACGGTTAACTATCAAACATATTTGACCAAGAAAACTTCTATGCACAGAAGTTTTTATTTGCAATGTGCTAAGTTTTTATTTGCAATGGAATTATTTGGAATTTTGAAAACACCCTGTCTGCATCATAAAATCTGAACTTATAAATTCAGAACAATTTATCTACAATACTGGTGATATCATTGAGAATTGTCACAAAATGCAACATGACTCAATGATCCTTGCTAAGAGCACATATAGTATACATGGCTGAACAAAAAATCGATTACCTGTCCTTGGCCAAGAGAAATACTTTGAACCTTGTCTCCACCGAAGCCACGACTTTCGGCGAATTTCAAAAGGGCTGCCATGGGGTCTGCTCCTGGTGATAGCACGAAAATCAGCGGAGTCGTACAGCTTGCGTCATTAAAACTCAACGGCAGGTTGAATGTAGGCGGCTCGATATATGTACGACCCATATGATCAACGATGAACTCCTAAAATAGAAAATATGATTAATAAAACTTAAGCAAGTCATGTAAAAATGATCAAATGATCAATTTACGATCTTTGTAAAATGACATGCAAAAAGAAACTATTAACCATTAAACTAAACGTTTCTATTTTAATCTAGTTCTCTCTCTAATTTCATAAAAGACTGCTGCCGAAAATAATCCAAGAGATAATTGAAAAATAATATTTTTATTGTGTCTTGAAATTCCACCGTATACTGAAAATTCCCATATTTTATTGAATCAAAATTATTCTTATCTTAGTTTTTTTTGAAACTTTTAGGAAAAACACAAATGACTCATTATTTGGTCTAAAATAATGCGAAATTTACCTGAACTGCTGGGACAATTTTGTCGGGTCGCAAGCAACGAAGAACAACCATTCTGAAACAAGCAATTCTTATTTGTTGAAAAAGTAAGGAAAAATATCAAAATAGTACAATACACTGATATTCTATGGCAAGGGGCAAGGTAAGACTTAAGATGTTTATTTATGCGAAAAAATACTCAATTCACATAATGTATCTTGCCAGTTTCATTGTAAAAAAACCAAATGATTGGTAAAAGCGAATGAGGATGTAATATTGTGCAGATACCTGTCAAGACCCTGCAGTTTCAACTCCCAAGGGTCTGGTAGCTTTTCAAAATGAGGAGACGCAGAATCATAAAAAGTGCGCCAACCAGGATTGCTGATATCTGCAATTAAAAACATTATACATTAGGGTTTCAGTCAGAGAAGTCGAAGAAGGCGGAAAGGGACATGGCAGAAGAATGCAAGGATGATTCAGATATGAAGATTTGGCTAGGTGATTAAATGGAGAGGTATTTTACCATGAAGGTGCTGCACAAAGAAGAATCAATTCGGATGGGGAACATTGGGGAAAAGCCAACCATGAATGCCCATAATGCCGTTTATTGAAGGAAAGACAAGCACTTACCATTCATTAATCCTTTAAGGTTAGGCAAATCAGATGCGCGCACAATTTCAGACCAGGACTTGTCATTCAGCCATTCATGGCAAGGGTTTGGATGAGGGTTATCTAGTGCCAGGCCACCGGTGAGAAGGAACCGCCAAACATGGTCATCAACCTCGTCCCTGCGACAAGAAAATGCTCTCTTTGTCAATGTAAACAAGGCTTTGCAAAATAAACCTCTGGCAAGAAACGGGAAAAGAAATGTTCTAATTTAATGGCGAAATCAAATGGCTGCGTAAAAGAAGGTGGACATAACTTGCTCGAAGCCTAGCCAACGGTGCAAACGTTACTAACCTTTACAAGTAGTTGGAAAACTCACCTTGCTTTTAGGATGTTGATTGTTAGCAAAAATGAAAATAGCAATTTGTCTTTCTCAAACAAGGAGCGGCAGACATTAGAATAAATGCTCTGAGTGAAGTGGTCATTAAGGTTCTCAATTCTGGTGGTAAGGTCCGACGATTTTTTGCTGTTTTCAATGGACTGTAAAAACGAAAGCGTCGTAAAATGGAGGTCATTCATTCGATGCAAATGTAAATATGCTAAAACATCTGCCCTGCAAATCGATCCTAAAAGCTTTGGCGAAAACATTCAAAAGTAAGCATAAGCCCTAGAGCGTTCTCGTTGCTTGGCAAGCTTACAAAAATGTAGCATTTTCAAACCAGGCCAGCTAAAATCAACTAACATTACGTTGTAACAGATTCAATTCCATTTACCTAACAATTATAAACACTAATGTGAAACAAGAAAGGACAAGCTTGAAGGTAAAAAAGAGGCTGTCTGCCACAAGGATGAAACTGCTTAGCTGTGCAATAAGAAAACACTACTTTTTTAGGACGAACGTAACGATGGGACAGGCAACGGTTTTGCGATAAGATGTGCTTCAATAGTCCAATTTATTCGCTAATTTCTGTCAACAGATAGCGGGTTCAAAGCTAATATATTATAGTTTCCAGCAAAACGGTATACTTGCCAGCAAATACAGATTGATAAACCATGTTAAGGAATACTGGTACATTGGCTCAATATTGGCCAAATCGGAGATGCAGAAAAAGAGAATGGCCGAATGTCTCGCCACTGGCTGGTAGCCATTTCTTGTCTCGTCAATTTCCTTCTCTGTTGCAGTAGCAATTTCCTGCACAACGTTGAAAACATAAATAGTTGTAAGATACATTGATTGGAATACTCATATGTCATTTAATGAGAAAAATATCCCATCGCCGCTAGAAAAATTGAAGTGATGGGAACAAGAAGAACAAAATTATTCAAAATTTAGAATAAATGCTCTATTGAATTTTAAGATAAAACGTGTGGAGGAGCATAAAGGTCAATTGACACTTGATAGTGACAATTAGCGAATGATGTAAACACCAGGGTAGCAAAACTACTTGACGGAATCCAAGAAAATCAATGCGGAGAAGAAAGAACAAAGAAGACAAGGAACACCACAACACGCCAAGAATAAACAAAAACAACAACAAAATTATTGATGGCTGATCTCGCCTGGGTATATAGGGTTGCCTTAAAGCTATTTTGTTATGAAATCAAGGTAACTACAGTTTATTGAAAACTACAAAAAGTATGCTGTATTCACCTGTTTAGCTGTGATTTCCTCAGATAACACTTTTGAAGACGATAAAATTTTTATGGCTGTTTCATCTTCCAAAATATTCCCCTAGAAAAATTGCAATAAGTTTCAAGATTTGGTAACTGATTTGCACTTTAGCTCATTTTTATCTTTGTATTTAGAAATTACAAATATTTTATAAAAATAAAAATCTTACAAAATAGATTAAAAGATAGGTCTTTTGGCATGATATCCTTACCGTTTCTAAAACACCTCTTCAAGAACTCAATATACATGAACGCAAGGAAATTAAAAACACTGAATGCAACATTTATTGATAATTGCTTCTTGATAAACAGTTTGCTACGATTACTGGTCGCTTCTTTCCAATTTTGTTCGTATTTATTTTAAATATTCATTGTTCTTAAACATCCATTATTCAACAATCCATTCTTATTCAACAATCTAAAAATCAGTTAATAGACTTTAAAGTCAGCAGTCAAAAAAAACTACTGGCAACAAAGTGTAATAAAAACAATATTTACTTCAGATGTTGAGAGTACTTCCAAGATTTTGTCTTCAATTTCTTTGAGCTAAAACAGACGAAATTGAAAGACAATTGCATCACCAATCAACATATCCTGTCTAAAATTCTAAAAATAATATCATTTCCATCACCTGTATCAATATATTTGTGAAACACAAAAGCAAAATCTAAGAGACAAAAATGTGTTTACACCATTAGAGAAAACAAAGGCTCATCTAGCTAGGGTCCCACAAAATGAAGGATATAGCTTAACACAAGAAATTAGAGAGATGCTAAATACAATAGTTCTTTGGAAATTTACAATACGGAATTGAACGTGGGCTAGATAGGATAAAAGCAGCTACACAATAACATAAGATGCAAAAAGGCGTATTTAAAATATTTCTTGAGACGTTTAACAATAACTAGAGCAAAATTATTCCAGCTAACCTGTTTTTTGTTTGCGGCACTTTCCAAAATAAGTTTGTTTTTCTTCTCTTCCAATTCTGGCTTCTCCTTCGCAGCAACTATCCCAAGAAGCTGATCTTCAAGGCCGAGCGGTGTGATCATGAAATTCAAAACTGTCACCTAAAATTACAGACAAGAGCTTAACAAGTGCAGGCACTGAGCCATGAAATTCAAGTCAAAAAGATTACGAAGGGCAGATAAAAAACAATCCATGACAATTAGCGGTTAGATCCTGATTAAATAAATGTTTTAAATATCAACAGACTAGCTTCCAATATTTTCTTCTGTTATCTATTTAACGTTATCAATTCACTTACCGGCTAAATTTCAAACTCAACTCGGGAAAATGGTTGAATTAGACTAACCTTGACAGAAACTTCTGGCAGATAATGTGGGTTCCTTAATCTTGTAGTGATGTAAAATCTGAATTCATTTGAATATTCGATAACATTCTCTCCAAGCTTGATGTACTGTTGAAGAAAGAGCATAGTATTTAAAAAGCTATGCTATATGCCAAGATCAGTCCTGAAACTGATATGTCCAAACTGACCTGCAGTTGGCAACAGTCAATCCGATGACGAGTTGTAAGCTGAATGAATAAGAATCACCACGAGACGTCTCAAGGTAAACATTTACAATACTGCGGTGATCGAAGCTGGAGTTCATGTGAAATAAAACCCGTAAATAACGATTGCACTAGTCATAAAGCAATTTCATACCTACATATCTTAATTATTAGATAAAACCACCAGATAAAAGACTTTGTACCCCATCTATGTCCAGCAAAGCTTGTAACGTAGGGTTCAGTACTGAAATTAAAGTTTGGGTCTTAATGGAACGGTTGGGCTTAGATTCTGAGAACATTTTGGGTAAAATATTAGGGTATTTTAAGAAAAAAATTGTAGCGGTACCTCAACTCCTGCCTGCTTGAATGTCTGCTTCAGCAGCAATGGCTCAAGCATCGGATCCAACTCTTCTCCAACGTTTTCCAACAAAACAGGAGTTCCAAACTGTAAAATTAAATAGCAGGAAAAATAATTTTTTAGGTTCTGCTATTTTCAAAGCACATTTAGCTGCTAAAAATTGACTTATATTTCTTAATTACAATGAGTTGAGTAGAGTTTTCATTCATTTATAAATAAAACCCTTTTAGTAGTACCTGAATTGCATTTTCAAGCGTCCTTGCATAATTTGAATCCGAAAGTTTGATGACATTCAAGCGATTCTTTTTTTCAAGATTCTTCACCCATTTATTGGCCTGACCTAAAAACAAGTGAGAATTTTGATAACATCGTCGCACATAGCGCTGCATTGAGAATTTGTACAAGACAGGACAAACTGCTTAAAGCATATCAAACTTCCTGACAATTATATTCAAAATTGACATCCTCTTTGCGATAATGTGACACAAAGCTAACTCCAATCTCTTTTTAGAATTTTTAAACGGGTTTCTGACTTATGTTATACTACGAGTCGCACAGACTTCGTCGACAGTGTGTCTACTCTTATATTTATTCAATAAAACCCAATAAAGATGCCAGACTACGAGTGAAAAACAAATGCACCACGATAAAATGCTAAATCAGTAGTCATGCGACTTTAAAGTGTTTTAGCTATCAGCAATTGCATATACCAACAAACTTTCGAATGAAGAAAATTTCAACAGTAAATAAGCGAAGATGACTGAGGATCAAAAGCTTCCCTAAAGTTGTGGATTGAACGAGACTTGCTTACTAACGTACGCAACGTAACGTAACGTACTTACTAATCTATGTATCACTAATTAAACACGTTTGAATCTAATTTTCCCTGAAAGAAAAAAATTCAATAAATCGAGAGATTTTTAACAGCAAATAGAAGGCTTTAATAGTAAAAGTGAAACCTTGCGGATCGATCATCAACGGCCATCTCCTTGTATTGTTAACAATAATTCCATTATCAATAGAGAAGGAATCCACCGGTAGGCCAGCTATTTGCCATTCTCGTATCTTGACTGGCTCGCCAAGAGTTGCACTCAATGAAAATCCCTCAGAGCAAGGTATCTTCTCCTTTTTACATAGAATAACCCAATCTTTCACGCATTCCTATAAAACAGGGTAACCAATAAACTTACTCGACTCAATAAACCAGCTTGCAATGTAAATCAAACTACCATGTGTAACAAGAAATAAACCTCGAAATCAAGGAAACTACTATAGACAATATACAACAGGTTTGCGTTCTCTCAAAACAAAATTTATTAATTGAACTTACATTTCTAAAGTCGACGGTAAATGCACCGAGATAAGCAACAACACCAGAGGACAAAAGAACATCTCCAGTTAATTGTATGAATCTGCAAAAATCGTAAAGTTAGAAAGCTCGAGTGACAGACATAGTGATTATCCATGTTGGAAATATTTTGAAGCGGTGGCTGAAATTAAGAAGCAAGAAATGTGACAAAGTTTATGTTTGTGAAAAGCATGGAGTCGATTAAATTGCTTCTTTCTCTTTCACTCTTTCTTTCTGAAAACAACGGTGAAATGCTAAGTATGGAGACTGACTGCAATTCAAGTTACCTTTCTCCAAGTGACTTGGCAGTCTCTGTCCAGCGTGTTTTTTCTCCTCCCAAACCGCCAATCAACTTTTCAGCTCTGTCCAATTTCTTGGAACACAAATCAATGTTTGCTTCTAATTCGGCTTTCTTTTTCGTCATCTTGTCTAGTTCATCGTTTAACGCTTGCAATTTATCTGTAACCTAAAACCAGATAGGATAATAGCAAAACAATATAAAAATCATCATAAGAAATAAATGTAGAATTAGAAACTATGTTTATACCCAAATTACAAGCGAAGTTACTTTAAAGGGATAATAGCTCATAAAAATATGATAATGTACATTTATTGTGATATGTCAGAATGAAACAAAGTGGCACCTCTTTGAGTTCAGCTCTTTTCGCATTCAGTTTGTCCATTTGCCGCTTCAATTCCGCTTCAGCACCTGCCAGTTTTTCTTTTTTGGGCGCCACAACCTGAAATGCGAACGAAAAGCCATTTAGAATGAAAACGACATGCAACCTTCTACTGCAAAATATCGTAAGGTGTTTCATTTTTAGAGCAAATGAATGAAAAAATACCTTAGCAACTCTTTCATAACACTCCATGGCACGAACCCATTTGCAAAGACCTTCACAAGCTGTGGATGCCTGCCTGACAACTTCTGGCACAAAGTCTTTATTTGTCATGTACCTCAAAGAGATAAAAAATAGAATGATTTTTGAAACTCGTGATCTTTCAACCTCTAGTCAAGTTAACATGACTGTGTATCGTATAAGTTGCATGTCCTTGAAGACCAAGCACTTAGGAATAGTGTTATACTCACTTTGCTCTTATTGTTTTCATTACACTCGCAGGAATATTGTCCTTGTCATAACTCTTCAACGAATCCAAGAACTTGAGATCACCAAGAATTTTCTGCGATGGTCCCCAGAAGTCTTCGACCATTTTGCCAGATCCTGAAGGGTCAGGTTTTCTTTCTGGCTTTACACTTTTCATTATACACACAGCCTCCATTACAAGCTTTACAACCGCGGGTGGATTCTAAAGTGAAACAAAGTTTAGGATCATCACAAATATATACATACATGTTTCACTTATCAAGGCCTTTTTGTTCAAAGTGTGTTTTCGAACAAAAAGCGACACTAGAACACTGAGCTCCTAGTGCTAATTAAAAAAGGAAAGAAGCTGAAAATATTTGTTTCTCAGATCTAGTTTAGTACAATCAAATTAAAAATAACAGTGCCGATTATTTGGCATATTTTCGTAAGCTTAGAGGTGTAAATGCGATTTCACTTTCAGCAAATTTTAGGCTAACATCTATTTTTTACTCCCGATAAAGAATATTTTAGCATTAGAGTGATGGCTTGATTTCCCTTTTTCAGCAGGTAGGCTCTGTCTATAATCCCAAACAATAGTGGTAAAAAGGGTGTACTTCTTCCGTCACTTTAAGGTTTGTTTTTTTAAACTCAAATATACTTGCGAAGAAATCGAAGGGCGGAACAAGGCAAGATACCTGGCTCTCCACGCATAGACGTGCAGGAGTTGATTCTTAACAATAGCGTTAAGATTTCTTGCTGTCTCTAAGAGCGTAAAATCTGGAAAAGATGATGCAATATTACTCACCTTCATTGTCTTTACCATACTGATGTCACTCGGTTTCAATGTATTCAGAGCTGACATGGCAGCCTCAAGTGCAGGCAAAGCTTCTGCGAGGTCGCTTTCACATTCATCTTTGATCTCCTTGGCAACATTTGCAGCTTCATTCGCAACCGCTTCGTCAGCTGAAACAACCTGAGGTTCACAAGAAAAATTTTGATCAAAGCAAAAACCAACTAAAAAGGCTAAGAGGTAGGACGAATTACAACATTTTAGCGAATGTTAATTCAAGTAATATATTTTACTTCTTTTTTAGCTTCCACTTCAACAGTATCCTGCGCGATTTTAGCCAATAGCTTCTCTGTTTCTGCAGATGTTTTAACAAGCTCAGGCTGCAAATCTCTTAGTTCTTGTTGCATTACAGTTACTTGCGAGGCTGCGAAATCCAGCTTTTCGAGACCAGTCTCGTAACGTCGCTTCAAAAGCATGACTTCGCTTTGCTTATTGCGAAGAAGAACTTTGTACGTCTGAATGAGTTCCAAGTATGACGTTGGTGTGACGTAATTATGACGTCGAAGAATCTCAAAATACCTTCAAAAAGAAACAAATTTTCCTCAGGTTTGTATAGCGAAAATATTTGATTTCAATAAACTTCGGATTTATTTGCAAAACATACTGCACCACAATGAAAAAAAGCTGTAACCTTTCCGATTGCTTCCTGACAGTCTCGTGAAACGATTTGCACATGCGCACAGCTGACTTTCGTACACTATCTTCCATTTCAAGATCCTGGAGAAACTTATTGGCGACCATTTCTAGGGCATCATCCGGCCAGGCCTACAAGAAAAAATGAGCAGCATTTACTTTCACAGCAATTAATTTTCGTATTATATTCACATAGTTGCGATTCACTATCAGATATGAAAAAAAAATTAATTTGTGTGCACAAGAGATTTTAGCTTTTGCATAAGAACAATTAGGTCCTTTTAATATTTTTTGATAAGTCGAGCAAATTCTGTTATCATTCTAAGAATGTATCTTAAAGATCTTAAGGTGTAGCACGAATTTGTTGCCTCTTCAGATGTTGTAGAATTCACTCCTTTCAACGGATCTTTTAAAGATACACAGACAAATAACTAAAACAGCCAAGAAAGTTTCAAAGACTTATCTCAATCTTACCAGTATGGGACTAAAATGAACCAAAACAAATTAACAAAAACCTTGAAGGTTTATCGATGTTCATACCTGGAACCAATCGATGGTGCAGCAGTTGATTAAAGAAGGAAACATACGAAGACGATTTCTGAATGCATCTCCAATAGGACTCATGGCAAGAACAATGTGAAGATTTGCCTTGACACGATCGATGAAATAATTGTACATGGCCAAAGGAGTAGCGTCGATCTTCTTTCCCTAAATTCAGATCAAAGAAAATATAGAGGAAACGATTCACACGGAAGTGTTTTCACTAGCATTGCGTATTTAAGAATGTCAACGTTTACATTAACAAAAGACTACATTTATGTTTTTGGAAGTCAGAATATCGTCGCTCCATCTAGCAATTTTGGAATCTATCTACATAAGCACGAAAAAACCACTACTGTATAGACAAAAGGAGTTCGTTTTCACCTTAGGACTCCATTGGTAACATTTTCAATAGGCAAGCGGCACTGATTGGTCAACCTCTACAGTCATGTGCTCGTGTTTCTGATTGCCCTATTTTGATCCACAACTGGGTATATATATTTCCTAGCGTAGAGTTTTCGATCTATGTTCTGACGTTTTATACTCTGAAGAGTGTCAAGCGAAAAGCTTTAATTAACTCAAATTTTTGCTTTTTTAAAGACATCTTGAAGTCAGAATACTTTCATTTTGAAAAATTTAGCGATGTGCTCGTTGACATTACCATTGTTTGATAACATAAAAGCAATGCCTTCATACTTGCATCACACCGTACCTCTAAACGTGCCACTCCTTGCATTTTCTCGATTACATCAGCTTTTTCGTCAGCAGCAAATATGTTGGGTACATCTCCAGTATTCAGAATCATGTTGATATCCTCTACAAAGGATTCCTCTTTGATTTGATTATCACTAAATAAGAAAACCGTTCTTTTGCCATCAACACCAGATTTGATAAGGACCTGTAAGACAAAAACTTTGATGATGAATTGTACAGCGAATGAATGGTGGAAGCTTTTATCATTTTGATGACGATATAAATGTCATAACAAAGGGTTGAGAAAATATCCAAAGAAAAATATTGTTTTTTTTCGGTTATTAAGATTGAACAAAATTAAAAAGTTGAGCAAAATGTTACAAAAAAGAAACAATGCAATGCGACGAGAAATAAACAACAATAAATAAACGTAAATAAGTAAAGGCTAATTTGACTTTTGCTCTGATGAAGCTCCGTATGCAGAGGCGAAACATTAGCCTTTTTAATGTACGTGTATCTATTGTTGTTCATTCTCGTCGCATTGCGGTTTACTTAATTGCAACATTTTCATCGATTTTTCGCCGCAAGAACCGAGCAGACTGCTATTGTCACCTTTCTTTATTCACACTTTTTGAATTCTTGAGACTACATACCTTTTTCAGGTCGTCTCTCCATTCGTTCTTTGTGTAATTCTTTGATATCTCAATTTGAAATAGATCGTAGTTGGCCATGAATGTTGCTAGTTTTGTGGCACTTTGCCTTCCACTTCCTCCAATTCCTAGCAGAAAAGGCATTAAGAGAGATGAATTTGAATCCTAAACTGGAATCACTTGTAAAGGAAGGTTAGCAATTTTATTCAACCTTACAAAAATACTTGTATTCAAAATAAAACTTGGTTTCAAAAGTTAGGTACAAATGCAAGGTAGAATGAGAAAAAGGGATAAAGCCCGTAATCTGGTGAACTGATGTTGTTTTAAACAGCGATATCAAAAGCTGGGCGCTCATACCAACAAGAAGCAGGTGTCCATTATCCTGCTTGAGAACCCTGCTCACTCTTGAAACGTGCTCGATAGCAAACTTGAACATGACAAGTGACATTGGTGCTTTTGACATTTGGTTGTAGTCATCCAAATACCTGAGCAGAAAAGTATAAAATGTTCATTGGGTTTACTGTGTTAGGAGTAGCTTAGTGCTTTACTGCTACATCAAGGTATTACCATTATACTCTCATGTTTGTTTCACATTGCACAATCGAATACAAAAGCTTTGTCACTGCATTAAATAGTGTAAGCATCTTTCTTTGAACACTTAAAGCCACATTCCGAGGCTGTCGCAAGAGCATGATGAGCAGATAGCAAAAAACGTGTGCACAGACGCAATTCGCTAACGGTTAGGAAAATTTTGCTTAGCTTCTGGTATCGTTATAGAGCAACTGTAAAAGATCAAATTGTTTTCTCTCGACAATGTCACATCGTTATGTTGATAGATTCAAAAAGAGGTGAATGAAAAGAACACCTTGCCTGATCGAACAGCTAGCCTACCTAGAAACTATACGTGAACTGAAAACTCATTAGCTTTTCACTTAGGATAAAGCGTTTCCTATTCCAGATTTGAGTATGAAAAGGGCGTCAACTATTCCAGGCCATCTAAATAATAGTTATTTTGGACAGTTTACTCACGACTCGATCTGGGCAGTCAGTGCCTTGAAATCAGTTATCTCATCATAAACGCTTTCTGCAGAATCTCCCGACATATAGTCACCAAAGAAGAGCGATCTACAACGGAAATAAAACAAAAATTGCTAAATACATTTATTCATAACCAATTACTAGTTTCAATTTAGCACATTAAATAGAAAGCGTAAGTCACCACTGCAGAGGAGCAAGAAAATGAACTTTCTGTCTCACAAATGCTTACCGTATATGGTCGTCAATCAGTTTGCCACTTGGGACAAGATGCTTAAGCAATGAGCCAATGTCTTTGTTAAAATCCTTTTTCACTGTGTCTTTAACCGCATCGAAGAAAAAATTCCTGAAGAGAGAATATAAGAAATTGAGGGCGATATTGGAAACATGATTGCGAAAATTGCTGGAACTTCATAAAAACAGCCCAGTGTTCTAGTTAACAAATGCTAATAAAAAGCTAGATCGCAAAATATTGCGAAAATTGTTTATGCCTAGGAGTTGGCGAACAGAGAATCAGGTTCAGAACCATGTAGATACATCACGAAAAAGTGAATGAGCCCGCACGTCCTCGAATCTCATACTACAGTACTGTGGAAGAAATCTATGCTCTAGAGGTGACTTTGGCAGATCCGAGTCTCTACCAGATTTATGACACAGGCTGAAAGTCCTTAGAATGACTAGCTGGTATTGAATATATATGAAACAGGCTGGTATTGATATAGATTTAAGGAATGAAGAGATATCAAGCAACTCCTTACCTGTCCTCATCATCAATCAGTCGATCATAAAACACTCGATATACTTCGTGGATCCAAAGGCGAATCAACTTGTCTCCATCTTGCATGCACGAAGGCGGCACTAACAATACGCCACGAACCACACGAGCGAAATCACGCAAGTTGAACACATAATGTGATTTTGATGGAGTTGGGAGAAAGTGCTTGACAGCTTCTTTGTATATGTGCATTGTTGCCATGACCACAATCTGTAAAAAGAAAATTTCATTTGTCAAAAAGTCTGTTTGAGAAGCTTGAGGTCTGTTTGCCAAACCAGGGAATGCAAATTAAAAATAAAGGAGATCAACATTTTGAAATTTTTTTTATTTTGGGAAAAGACAGAACGCTAGAAATGCTTATCCTTTTTACACAGCAAACAAGGATAGATAAAATCTTATAAGATACAAAAAGAAAAAAAACAGTTAAAAGGCTGACTGCGTCCCTACCTTGCCAAGTCTTGAAAAAGACGAATCAAAACCATTGTTGAAATGCCAGTCAGTTATCGATGCAAATATTTTGGTCAGGTTGTTGTCATCAAATTCGTTTATTGAAATGATGTTCATGTGTCGGGAAAACCTGGCTGTAATGTCATTTCGTCCACCACCAGGGGGGCCCATTGCAGTAACAAGCAGCTAGAAACATCAGAGAGTTTTAGTTATATTCAAGGCTTTTCCTACAGTAACATTGCATTAGAATATTTCCTAGAACATATGCGTTGAGCCTTTGGCCTTGAGATGCAAGGTGAATTTATATTTTAGCAAGAACTTGAACACAAGCAATACTTCATTGTTGCTACATTGAAAGAGCTTGTGGCCAAAATACAGAGCGAGTAAGATTAAAGTAAAACTGAGAAAGCAAATATGAACTTACAACATCTTGTAACTGGAGGGTAGATGTGTCCTTTCTATCGTACCAGTGGTGGTGATCAATCCACTGCAAGGTTAAGTGACTTTTGAGAATTCGGAGGTAAGCAATCGTTACTGCTGGGGTTACTTAAAGTTACTGTCGGTTACTACGACATTTAAGTTTTAAACAATGCAGGAATTTTCATATTAAAGAAATGCCATCTTAGCAAAAAAAACTAATTATATTTTCTTAAAAGATCTATATTTGAGGAAACAAACAGTTATTTTCAGCAGAAATAAATGTTACGGTTAAAAGAAAATAGGTATATAATAAAGAGTAAAGAGCGTTGTCATAAGACAATCTATTTCGTTAGTAAAATAAAGTATTTGCATTGGCATAAAAAAGAGAACAAGCTTGAACAATTAGCAATCTTTTCAGTTGATTTATTACTTACCTGTCGCAACAATTCAATGGGTGGTTGGGCCCCATATTTTTCCTTGGCTGGCATGTTAAGATCGTCGACAAATGCAACGCACTTCTTCCCATGAGGGGGACCATAAACTCCCTTTCTTCTCCTTTTAATTAAAAATGAAGTTTTCTCATTTGAGAATGCAAAGTCGATTTTGTTTTAAGTTTAAAAAAAGTTTGAAATAGTTCTGTAGCAAACGGCTCTGACATTAGAATGAGAGAACTGATATTAGCAATGATGAAAAATCTATTATGAAATATTGTCCAATCTATGTTCTAGTAAATGAAATTTTTGAGGCTCCCTGTAGGTAAGATTGAATTTTCTCAATAACTATCTAATGATTATTCATTGCTACCATCCCCAGAAGTACACAGAGTTTTAATTATTGTCTCTAAGCTTTGACAATGAAATGTTGCTATAGGATCAAGCCCGATCTATGATGTCAGCAAACAAAAGGTACAAAGAAGCTTCATGAGGATAAGATATAAGAGGCCGAAAAGTGGCCTAAACTGTACAATATTCTGTATTAGGTAGAAGTATGAAGGAAATACCTGTCTAGTTTTGACATAATGATGTCCTGGGTTTGGCCAGCACTGGTTCTCGCAGAAAAGTTTATATTAATTGGAATGTACCTAAAATGTAAAAATGTTTCATATTTCCTGCTCATCTGCCTCGTATAGGGCTTTAAATTGTGCTGCAATAACCAAAATGAAATAGAAGAAGAATGTGGAATCATAAGAAAAGAGGAAACGTAGGTTGATCATTGTGTGAAAATGGTTCCACTCTGAAGGTTTAGTCATAACATGCAAAGGTTACAGATGATAAAGAAGCAACGGGTATACACACTTTTCTCTCGGCAGCCGAACCAGATAGTTGTTGGTTATCGCAGATTTGCCAGTTCCTGTACTGCCAACAAACATCAAAGGGGTTTCGTGAGACACAAAAGTCTCTAAGAAATAAATCTGTCTCGCAGTGTCATCTGTGTGAATTATCAGCTCGCTCACCTGCAAACAATGACAGTTATCGAGAGTAACAGAGACATCTAGAAAAGTAACACCCAAAAGACAGAATTGCTTTTTAGTCAAATTCTTGATTAATTCTACCTTGAAACCAGAGAGCTCTTTAGAAAAGCTAGTCAAGCCAAGAGAACAGTATTGCTACTTAGCCTATGACTGTTGCAGATAAAGACCGTTGATACGAGCCAAAAATCCTTATAAGCAGACAGGATGGTAACACTGTACACGCTTTGAGTATAGAAAACAATTATTCTAGGTCGAAATTCTAAGTTCTGGCAAGTCAGGACCAAAATTACAAGTTAGAACCAACGTAAGGCTCTCGCTTAACTGGATCTAGCAATAAACAACCGAAAGCCCGTAAACCGAAATTTTCAAGATTTTCACATATTTTCTAGAAGCACCACAATAAAAAAGTACATAAGTAAACAAATAGCATTAACAAAATAAGAATAAATAGACATGTAGTCGTTGACAATGGCGTCTATTCTAATTTATATAATGACTTTAAGCAATATCAGACTTCCTGTAAAAGCTTTAGCAAATTTCCACAGCTCAAAGATAAGGGAACTGGAAGAAAGTGGGAAGGAAGCCATCGCACGCCATTTGAACTCTACTAAGCAAACCCATTTGCTGATTTATTCTACCTAGAAATCAGAGAGCTCTTTAGAAAAGCCAAAATATTAAAAAACTTGACATAACAAAATCAAATTTTATTTACTTTGGCATTTTTATCGATGTGCAGCAAACTTTTATCAATGGTATCGATCCATCGAGCCCAGGACCCATTGGCTGCTTTCACAAACACGTAATCGTAAACAGAGCCAGCTTCTGGGAAGATGTTTTGCTGAAAAATAAAAAAAATATCACTTCAAAAAAACTGCGATTGCAAGATGTCAAATCAGAATATAAAGCCTGATAAAATTCTTTAACAATGACCTTACGTGGCATCGATCACAAACACTAGCCAATCACTTAATCAATTTGCATGGTAATCAGCCGACCACATAATCACAATTGTGCATAACATAAAGCGGCAATACCTTTGAGAGTTTGATGATCTTTGGCTTGGGATGCTCTTTATCAGATCCCGACAGCAAATGACGGTAGAACTCGTCAAACTTTCTCCTGCTATCACCGTCCAATGTACCGGCAACGGACCAAACAATCGCAAACACAAATAGGCCTTGTAGCCAAGAAGTAACCTGGAACAAAGGACCAGATAAAGAATGTGCCAAAAACACATTTATTCAAGATGAGCAAAAAGCATAATGCAGAAGGACCTTCTTTGTATAGATTTGTCAATGTACTGAATGAGGGTAAAATTTCAGCAAAAAATATTTACATATACGTTTAAAGGTTTCAAAACCCCGAATTACGGTGAAAACAGAGCTTCAGTAAAGACTATATATAGAAACACGTTTACTCAAAAAGGTTTGTTAGCAGCAGTTAAATGCACATGAAACTTTAAGAAGAGGTAGCCTAAGATGGATGGTGTGCGGAGCAAATTGGATTGAAGTTGGCTCATATTGACACTCTCAACTTATTCAGATGTGTTGACTATAACTATCAAAATATTCATCAAAACTTTGTCAAGCCCTTGTAAGTAATTAATCGAGAAGATCTACCTGGCCAGTAGAGAGTCTGCTAGAACCTTCAGCTGTTGCTTGAGCTTTGATCTCTTCCAATAAACATGTGTAAAGTGTCAAGAATGACTTTGCTAGATGCATTTGCGATGTTTGAATGAAGAACTTGCACTCGTGACGTATAAAGTCTGTTTAAAAAGAAATGAAGAAAAGACAGTTATGAAAATTACTGATCACAGAAATGCCGTTGAAAGATGCGATGAGTAACTGAGACAAACTCTTGGAAGCGAACTGTCAATCATATTGATCATTAGAATATAATATCTATGACATGAAGAGAGTACAGTCATAAACAAATTACCTAAGCATGGCTGAATAAGCCAATTAAACAATTCACGGACAAGTTCACGCTGTTCTTTTGTTAACGTCTCTGGTAGTGTTTCCATGTAGGACTCCATTAATGGTTGCCAGCCAAGCTTATTATACGAGAAAGTTAGAAATTAATAATCATGGGTAAGAAATATACGAGTTCATAAAAATGATGTTTACAAAAGCTAGGACTGCCTTTGCACAAAAATGATGTACAAAAATTGTTTATCTACCATGCACCAAGATACTATGGTATACTCTGCAAGAGACTTTTAGCATTATCAAGCTTCTGACTACTTTTATGCATTCGTTGAAATCTCTTGTACAGGGGCGGTGTCAAGAAATTCAAAGTGGGGGGGGGGGGGGGGAGGGGACTCGAGTTGATAGCTTCATTAGACTAAAAGACAATTATTTTAAAAACGCACTAAAATGCTTCACGATATTTTATGCCTATGATTTTATAGGGCAATCGTAACCGTACATTGAAAGGGCCGGCGATAAGTTGTCGGAGGCCCTAGGTATACCAACCTCTCTTTGGCGCCGCCCATGATGTGTGAAAACAAGAAATTTGGTTTGAATATTGCAAAAGTTTCACAGGTGTCGGCTGCAGCAAAACGTCGAACAAAAATTCGAAATATTAAAAGAACATCTAAATCTATCTAAAAAGGTTGCGAAGTAACAAAAAAATTAAAAATATGAGTGGGAATTGATTATTGTAATATGAGAAATTGGTATAAGAAACATAAGCAAAGAGGTTCATTTTGAGATTAAAAAAGGCAAGCGTACCTGGTGTGGTTCCAAATAAATCATACCGCATCTGCTAACCGTTGCAGGCGATGCTTGATCAAGGTCATCAGTCTCAAAGATCAAGCTTTGCTTGTTGTTCATTTGAATAATCTCACCGCTCATCAGGCAGAGCTAGAATAAAGAGAATTTGTAGATCAACGAACAGAGACAAGTAATTACGTAAGAAACTGGAATATCAAGAAAGATGGACGAAGACAACTGGCATAAAAGCTACAGATGTAACAGAGGAACAGATACAAACGTAGAATGACAATGGTAAAACACGGACTTAATGACATTTTGAATGCATACTGAAGTCAATACTGTTGCCCGTAACGAAAAAAGGTTGAATTGCTACATAGATTATACCTTTTTGTTATCATCGAGAACAGTATTCATGTTCTCAATCCAGACCGCATCGACTGGGCCGTCAAACAGAATCCATTTGCGATCGTCCGTTGTGGATACAGCCTGTTCTCGAAATGTGTTTGCCAATACACCATCAGACCATTCATGAGACACAGGGTCAAAGCAGCCGTACAGCTCACCCATTGTACATGATTTCGGATTTATAATCTTGTACTTTACCTAAAGAAATCAATTGTATTCAGTAGAAGTCTAGGAATTGTATTTCGTAATATAATAATATGCTTTATACTGCCTGTTGCCTATAATTTTATAATCCTCATCAAAATAGTTGAAACGCCTTCCCCTGACAGCATGCAAACAGACAAAAAACAAGCCTTCAACTACTTTACGAATATACCATTGCTGCTAGCGAGCTTGTGACCCTTCCCCGTCAAATGTTGATTTATTTCATCAATACCTTTGTACAGCTTTCAGTAACACAATTTCTACCCCCAGCAAAGAAACAGTCAAAAGGAGCAAGATTTTAATGTGGGAGGATAGGGTGAATTTTTCAAAAAAGCTTTGCAAAGTGTTCTATAAATCCTGCCAAAGATTGTACCATTGTTAAGATTGTACCACTGGTCTGAAATTATAGCTTATAAACCAATGATATTTCTAATAAAAGATATTTAAAAAAATGAATTGAGATTTTTGCCATGAAAATGTTAGAAGATTCCTTTGTATAATAGATTCAAATGATCATATATCATTATGAGAGCCACGAAACCCTATAAATGACATCAACTGTAATCAGAGGCATTCTCTATGACCTATTACAAATATATAATTGGCTAACCTTGTACTGGTCTGGTACACCCGCAGCTTCAAGGTCTTCTAAAGCCCCAGCAAGAACCTTGTAGGCCATGGTCTTACCGCCAAGATGGCCGCCGACAATCATGAATCCATGACGAACAAGCATCATTTCATAAACCTAAAGAGCCATAATTCACATTGAATAAAATGCATAAGTGAAAATCAGAAAATGATTTTAAGGTATTGAAGAAGTCACGAGAAAATGTATTCGTTTATCTGTTGAAAATTAATGAATGAACTCAAACCATGCTTACTTGAATAATTTTCTTCAAAAACCATTCTGTTGCTTGTAGCCCGTTCTTTTTACAATTATCAATCAAGGCAACCATGAGAGCACCATAATCTGGATTAGGCCAGTTTGTTCCAGGGAACAGGTCCGAGATGATCCCTTCAAACAGTGGTACATCCTGGAAAATAGTTTCTTTAAAAATCGTTGTGCAGCTCATTTTAAAGGTGAGTTTGTTTTACAAAACAAGATAATGCAAGATTCTAAGGGTGTTGTGATGGATGGGTAAGGTGACTACCATTTGAAATTAGGTGCCTACCAAAGGTGACTACCATTTGACATTAGGATACTGCAGATATTAGGTTTTTCTATCAAGACTTTGAGCATTGGTCAGGTTCTTCTATCAAGACTTTGAGAATGAGACAGTACAAGTTAAAAGATTATAAGAAAAATGCTTCGAAGCTTCTACCTGCGAAAGGAATTTGGCAAGGTTGACTTCTAAGATAGCGCGGAGTACAAGCTCGCTCTCATCTTGGTCTGGCAGTCGTAGTTTTAAGTTTCCAGCAGCAGTCAACACTGATTTGACAGCTCGCATTCCGTAATCATAATGGGACTGAGAAGAAAGCTGTTCGGAACAGAGGCGATAGGTCTCAACAATCTTTGTGGAAAGACTGAAAAAAATTAGTCATTTGGATCGTTACTGAAGTCACAAGTATCATGTTAAAGTAAAATAACATCACTAAATCAAGTGTAAAATTCAATAGCTCCATAAAGTTTTCTTCCACAGCAATGCCACTCAGGGTAACGTCAAATGTTGAGCGAAGTCAAAAGCATCATAAAGATGTGAGTGCAGATCAAAGAGAAACGAGGCTTCTCATGTGCAGGTAAATTGGATAAATTTTCATATGTACAATATCAAACTAAAGACTTGGCAATGAATAAAAACCATATTCTTTTTTCTATCAGATCAATTTTTAGAAGATATCATGTTTTTCTATATTGATAATTTAGTCACAGCTTTTATTAGAAACACTTATCAAATATATAGTGGTCGGAGGCATTCACCATGGAATAGTAAAGCAAACAACAAAGTTAATCAGTTTAAAACAGTAATGAAATACGTAGGCCATACCTTCTTGCGTCTACGAAGCCCATGGAATACAAGGATATCTCTGCAATCAGGGCATAATCAGGTACCATCATTGCCACTGTTCGAAACAATACCTTAAAAACAACAAATTAAAGACTAAATTAAAAGGCTACATTAAAAGTAATTAGCCCACTTCATATTTTACGTACCAAAAAAGGGGGAAATCCTTTAATTCGATTATTATTGTCCGTCTATTTCAGGATAAAATTAACACCTACAACAAAATTAACATCGTTAACACCTTGGTGAAAATTGGCATTTTTCAGCAATGTTCGTTGCGTTGAATTTGAAAAGCGACTTACTTTGAGGTTATCAGGTAATTCTTGTCTCCCAGCGTATCCAGGGTTCATTGTTATAAACATGGTGCAAGTCGGGTTAAGGACAAGCTCTGTGCCTTCAAATATAAACCTTTTTTGTCTTGCGGCAATAGCTTTCTGGATCGTATGGATTTGTTGTGCAACGACAGACAGCACCTGCATATTAAACATGTATTTTTTTGAATTTAGAATTGTCAACTTTAAATTGAAAATAGATGCAAAAATTGCGAAGAAGCAACCAAATCTTGGTGATGTCACAATGTAAAATGACTATGAATTACTATGCAGGCAAGATGAGCCATAACAAATTTCGGTCGACGTGGAAATTCTAGCTTTTAATATGAAGGATGTTAAAGCACAATAAAAAGACAGCGTCCCATCATATGTATCTGCCAAAATGAAGTCATACAAAGGCTTTGTAGTAGCAGTTCTTCTCTTCTTCTTTCATAACATAACTGTCAACGCACAAAAGCTTAAGCAACGCAAAGTAAGGTATATTTCATAACGTTCTTAACAAATGGACAATTATTATTTATTATGAAATGAGCGACGTACTCACCTCAAGTTCAATTCTGTTGAACTCATCGAAACAGGCCCAAGAGCCAGCCTGAGCCAAACCTTTAAAGAACTTTCCCATTGCTTTGTAATCAAGACCATCAGAGCAGTTGAATACAACACACTAAAAATATCAACATCATCAATTTTTTTATACGGTTTATTCCTTAGTCCATCTGGTAGACTAACAGTGAATAAGATAAACCATTGAACTGGTGACAACTTCTTGTCAGAAGTCGAGAAATTCAGTTCTTTTTTCATAAACTTAAATGCAGTAAATAAAATTAAAGGACATAAATGGCATGCAGGTAGCCTGTTTTTGATTAGCAGCGTCAGAATTATTTGTAAAATCAGCGCTCCTAGTAAGCACGTTATACGTCTCAACATGAAAAAAGCATCGGAGAAACCAAATACCTGCTTGGCCACAGCCTTTGCCAAATCTTTGGATGTTTCAGTCTTGCCTGTACCGGCGGGACCCTCTGGTGCGCCACCAAGGTTTAATCTCAAAGCACCCATCAATGTTCTACAAATCGACAACAGAAAAATTAGGCTGATTTAGTTTTGAAAGCAAGAGTTGTGAAATAACACAGCTAGAAATATGAATTACGATAAGAATGAACTTTTGCGGTCATATTTTTGGGATAAATTTGTAATCCAAAGTTAGCAATTTTTATCATAAAAAAAATTATCCCTGCAATCTCAGGAGGCAGAGCTGTTTTAATAAGCCAATGAATGTAGCAAGAAGTTTTAAAGGAGGTTCGCGTGCATTTTCATCTATAGGTATGTCATGGATAGGAAGAGGTTAAAAACGTAAAGGGGCATACAGTTCAAAGATATAAAGATAGAATATGGATAGAACTGTTTTTTACCGGTAACATCTGTCAGTCAGGGGGGTGATGACGAGTCTGCCAGAATTGCCAAGATACTCGTAACCATAGTCGATGCTTGTTGTTATCATCCGCACGACGATTCGTTTCTCTTCAAAATAATACCGCAGCTGCGCGATCCACTGGAAGTCGTTTATGCTGCTCACTTCGTCTGACGCCATCTTAGCAACAACATCTCGAGCTGAAAAAGCACAATTCTCTTTCAGCTATTGAAGAGATGCTATGTTCTTTGATAACAAAAATCTTACTTGATATCTTAGTCTCTAAGTATAGATTGAAAAATTAGGGGTAGAGGGGTGGTGGGTCGGAGGATTGTAGGGGTAGAGGTATAGCGGAATGAAGCAGTAGAAGGGTACAGGGACACAGGGATAGAGGAATGAAAGGGAGAAAGGGGTTAACCGTGATCTACCTATCGTGCAAAAGGTGATGAAGATTGATTGATCGATCCCGAGGAAGATGGGCTGAGCGTAAAACTACACTTTAAGAAATAGGTACATAGAAAAAATTAACGCAACGATTCAAATAGAAACAAGGCTGTCAAAAGAAGGTTTAAACATTATCAGTCAAAAAGGTAAAAAATATGAAAGAATAGTAAAGAGGACAATCACCGTGAACGTCGATAACTATGAGTGCACCCAGTGTGACTCGAACACCTTTGTCGAGCCTGCCTCGTACCAATGCCACCGTAGAGTCAATTTGCGAATTGCACAGCTGGTGATATTTCTAAATGGAATGATAAAACTGCTCTTAAAAAGCAAGAAAAAGCTGCTTGAAGATCCTATTTTGGCTTGAGTGATAAGCAACAAAAACTGGCTGGTAAGGCGTTGCTACAGTAGATCTGTTAATCTAACACTTTGAATGGAAGCTTTTATCACGGACTTCTTGGTAAGAAGCCTTAATTTGGCATAATACAACTGGCGGTGTTATACAACTGGCTTTTAAACTTGGATTCCCTAATGCTAATGATAATAATCATTGATGATTGCCGAATTGCTGAAGTTGCTAATTCAAGCCTGCCCTTGTAGACAGCATTAGAAATGATGGAAACAAAGACAGAAGCATATTATGAATCAAACTTGAAATCTATTCGATTGATATTTGGACATCAGAAACAAAGAAGTACCTTCAATCCATTTTCAGCCTGGATCGCTTCGGTGACTTGCGATGTCCAAAAGATGCTGCTGACAGCAATAACAATCTAGAAATCAATGAAAACTCCCATCAAAGATATAACAATATCACCTTTTCGTGCTGTATCAGGAAGTGTGGGTGGCATCAATTGGGGCCATTGGAGTGTCACTCGCATAACTGCAATTAGGTGTTTCCTTGCATTATATGGAACCCGTCCTTAAACCTTTCGCTAGGACCAGAGTCTGACTCACACAGCACCGATTGTCTTAAAACAATGGCAAAAATGGGAAGATGCAATGTTATTTATGCAGTCATCTGCGGTTAACAATCTGATTACATTCAATCTAGCCTTTCAGAAGTACTAGCTGTATCGTGAAAAATCGATAGGTGGGCAGCTAAAAACTTGCCTGTCCGGGCCACTCCTGCACCCATTTCTCTCTAGGCACCTGTGTATAAGACTGAATTGCCTCTTCTGTCACCTTCATTAGACTTCTTATCATGACTTCTTCAACCTGGATCAGCCATTTCTCTACCATTCCCTGCAAAAATGCAAAGTTATAAATAAATATGCTGGAAGTCATCCCCAAAACTGAAAAAAGACCAACAGGAATTTTTTTAAGATTATGAGATATAAAATTACATTAATTCACCTTTGCTTTGGCGGGAATAATTTTGTTTGAGAATGGAACAGCCTCGTTCTCGCTGCTTATCATGCCAACTATTTCCTGCTGGTCTGTGAATTCAAGCTTTGCAATGCCTTCAAAACATTTCTTCAAGTGAGGCTGAACACGCATTGGGTCTTTGGTTTCAGAGAGAATTTCAAGCAGCTCATCATTAGACAGAAAGAAAAACCTGTAAAAAGGGAAGATAAAACATTATTAAAGGAATTAAGATGCGATAATATAGCATAAGAAATAACTTATCATTTAGCGGAATTCAGATTCAGCAACCAGAACAGGGACAAGCTTAATGAGGAAATGAGGAGAAGTTATGGACCAATTCCTGCCATTATAAAAAACATAACGGAAATTTTATACCCCAGCAATGAATCTATGCAAAATCTTTGCTTATCAATGTTTTGAAAAAGCTTTTCTCGTTTTCTTTATGCATTCCTTTCCGCAATTGATTTTTACAGCTACTTGTTTAAGCTGCCCCTGCTGCTGCTAAACCCCTCTCCAATCCCCTTTATGTAATGCTGGATGAATAACTTTCTATGAATAACTTTTTATGCTAGCAATTTATTCATTAATTTGCAAGAGAGAGGAGGATGCAAGAGAGGGGAGGAGAGAAACTAATGAGCTGTCTAAAACTCTAAATGCATTTTCCAGATGGCCGAAGAGAAATTGATAATAAGCCTCGACCACTGTGGAGAAAATCCAAAAAACTCTTCTACCTACCGTGGAAAAAACAATTGCTTCTTCTCCAAATATGCATTAAGACCTTTTTGGATTTCTTCCAGCAGCTGGTTGGCCTCGACAAGGCGACTGAGCATGTTTGGTTGACTGGTACACGTTAGTACGTGGTCATCTTTTACCTTTGCAAAACAGACGGAATCAAATGGCGAATTCGTCATATGATTAAGGAAATTCATATGCAATAGAGTTGATATATTGAAGCTCGACAATAGTTTTGTTCAGTTAATACTCTGCTTGTTGGGTGTATAGGAGACTGAAAGAAAAACCAACTCACAGATTCATTCATAATGTCCCGCCAGTAACTGTCCACAATGCCAAATTTTCTGCCTTCTTCCGGCATCTGTGCCATAATATCTTCAGAGCTGAAGATAGGCTCAAGGTACAGCCAAGTTGCTTGACACTATTAAAAAAGGATTAAAGACATGCAGTTCCGTGCTGCCATCGCCTTTTGAATAGAGGGTCCGAGAAAACGAAAGCTATACACATTACCCACTTTAAATAACCTTTAGAATTTTATTTTCGAGACTATAACAGACCAACTGTATATAATGATCGGTGAAAAAAAAACAAAATAAACCCTTTCTCATCCAAAACACAAATCTTCGACAAAAACTTTATGCAATATACATGAACCTCTTGTTAGATAAATATGAATAACTCCACTCTTGCATGCTTGTCCATAAATAAATACTTGCAAGCTTGAACAATCTAATAGCCATTTACCTATGTTTTTAGAGATATTTTTCATGTTCATCTAGCCATTAAATGAATATAAAAAATTAAGATCGATCAAGATTTTTTGATAAATGAGTAGCACTGGATATGGAGCATACCTTGAGCCAATTGTCCAAAATGTCCTGAATAAGAATAAGTCTTTCACACCATTCTTTAATTTCTTTCTCAAATGGCTTGATGAATGGAGATCCACTCATTGTCTGTGCCTTGACAATATGGTCGTCCAGTAGTAGCTGAACTTCGTCAATGGCAGAGAGAATGCTGACGCCCTGGAAAATGAATCTGCAACTAGAGATCTCAATTCATACGTCAACAACAACAATCACGCTATTGACTTGAAAAACAAAGTATATGGGGCAGTTATGATACTGATATCAGAGACAGGAAGAAGAGTCATATTTATGGGGAGGTCGGGGGTTTCAGGGGAAGTTTCAGGGGAAGTTTCAAGGGAAGTTTCAGGGGAAGTTTAAGGAAAGGTTTCTGAAAGGTTTTTGATATATTGGAAGCTAAGCTTGAAATTATTCAGTAGATGCTCAAAAAATTTCATTGGTATCGTTGTTGGCAGTTAGCCGAGCATTCATGCATCAATCTGCAATAATGCTTGTTCAGGAGGAAGGTATCTGCCGTTGAAATGGCTCTTACCGTATCACGATATGGTACAAGTTCAAAATGCATCCCGTTCCATTCTGACTTCATTTTTTCCATTGCTTTTTCTAAGGAATACTCCTTTGTAGCGGCCCCGCTGATTTCCTCTAACCTGAAGGAAAAAGAAAGATGCTTTTAAATATCGAGATACCTAAATGATAAAAAATCAACGAAATCGAGAAAACTTTGACTAAACAAACTGAAGAAATCACTTTGGAGAACATACTTGTCAAGATGTTTCTGTAATCCGAATTCCAACATTTGGCTAAGGGATGTTGTTGCTTCTGGTTTTATGTCATACTCTACAACATCACTCATCTAGAAAGGATAATTAGTGTAAGAAAAAAGCCTAACATAGGCAAGGACCGATGAATGTCATGACAATCAAGATCTATACCGTAAAGATGCTTAATGTGTAGCTGTGACCAAGCAAAGAGATTATTTCATACCTGCTCCCAATGCCGATCCCTGAGACCAGGGTTGCATATGCAGGAAAGGAGCGGCATGTAAACCTTGAATTTGTCAATCTTAGTTTTTGTGCTGTCAGCAACCCGCCTCGGACCTTGCACATCTGCAAATGTCTTGGTCAACTTAAACATTGTTCGCCACATTGAGCTAACTTCTTCTTCTAGTTGCTCCGCATCCATGTCACGAAATGGGCCTAAATATGGCCGGAAAATGATCAGTTATTCGGTACGCAATAAATTGAAGCACCATTTATTAATGCAGAAATCAGACTCATTTTAGAGACGTAAACTTTAGCTGATGTTGCTGAAAAACCGTTGAAAAGCAATGCTATCAAAATGAAAGGTTAAACAACAGTAGCAGTGATTTAAACCGTTGAAATACGAGGAAGGAGATTAGGAAAGAAAATTACAAACCATTCATCCACAATTCATATTTTGTGAAGAAATTGGCTGCAGTTTTCCATAGCTTGTCAAATGGCTCCTTATAGGCGATGATTCCTTGAAGTATAGGGAACTGCGATGGTTCCCACTCCAGCAGTTCTTCCTCTTCATTCAGAGACTACAATAGAAAAATGTTATTCAAATGAAAAATTTTCAAAGCTTTGCTGTTTTCAAAGCAAAATCTGACAGTCTGTCATAATGTCATTTTCATCTAAATCATTCTTTGGGCAAAGTTAAATCACCTTTATAAATTCAATTTTTTGACAACAAAGGGAGTACCTGGAGCTCTTCTCTCGCCATGACAAGCAGGGTATCCAGCTCATCTAGCTTTTCGACATTTTTATGCATTTCCTCTGTGTTCATTATCTAAATAAGAAGAAAACAAGTTAACGAAACTCTGGGATTTTTGTGAGTGTTGTGAGTATTTGAGGATGCTTTCTTATAAGCTTTGTCAGAGATTGGAATTATATTCCTCATATTAATATTTAAAAGAACACCAGAGCAAAGATGAAACATATTGGTTCAATTCTCAAAGATCAGTGCTTGTCACATTAATGAAAATAATGATAAGGAACTATTTAGTAGAAAACATAATCATAAAATGTTTTTCTATAAATTGTCATTAATTCTTTTTTACATTATGCAAGTTGTCTTTAAAGAGTTCAGCTATTGGGATAGCTTAAAAAAACTTTTCAATAGTATCCATTTGATTCAGCCATTCCGTGAAAGATAATATTTTAATCAAAGTTTTAAATATCGCGATCTCAATAGGTTGTCGCAGCAGCAATATTTTAAAGTTCAGTTGCCGGAAAATATTTTTGTCTAAAATGATTTATTCAAAAAGGAACATTGATAAACATACCTCTTTCTTTCTGAATGTTTCAACTTCTTTGTTATAAATATTGAGTTTTTCATCAAAATTTTTCAGTCTACAAAAGAAATTTAATGGAAATGTTTCACGCATCATTTGACATGCTTAAAAAACTCAGGTTTGCTACGTAAACAAACTTGTTAAAAGGACAAAAAGATGCAAAGACATTTTAAAAATTGCTCATTTTATCTAAAAGAAAAAAAAATATTTAGCTGCCAGAAGTAAGCTTTTGTGATTAAGAAAATATGGAGGCGCCTTTTGCAAACAAGAAGATTGCTTATTGCTCGTTGCTCTGTTCTGCACACGAGAAAAGTTTCAAAGTAGAAGAAATGAAATCAGATTACAAGCATCTTATGCAATAGAGATTTGATGATAATTCAATTAGACGATAAAAAAGCTAGTAGAAAGGGTTTCAATACTTTTTTCTGAGCTCTGTCATTGCCAAATCCTTGCGGTGATCGATACGGTTACGGCTCAGTTCAAAAATCTTTTGAATATGATCGGACCAATGAAACACAGTGCTGTTCAACTTAATGTCTTCATCTGCAAAAACAATATTCACGTTATTGCGATGCAAGTTTCACGAGGTACTAGTGTTATGAAACTGCAAGATCTCATTGCTTTATTTAGAGCTATCGAATGGCTTGGATTGAGTCATTAAGTCTTGGTAAAGAGACCAACGAGGACTTACATGGCAGTGTAGCATAGTCAAGCAAGAAGATGAGTCTTTCTGCTGCTTCATCGACCTCCTTTTGCAACTGAACGACAGTCACACCACTGGCATTTTTCACATATTCTTCCAGCTTAACTAAATCAGAAGTCTGGTCAGGCATTTCTTGGCATCTGTCAGATATTTCGTCAAAACGTTTACAAATCCTGCAGAAATTAAGCAAATTCTTAGCGAGTTGAATCACAGTAATCATTTTAAAGTTACCAGGGAATTAGTCTGATTTCGAACTTAACAGAGCAAATGAGCAAATACATTCAGTAGCATTTAACATGTAACTTGTCTGGTACGTCTAAAAATAAATCTCTCCGTACCCTCGATTTTGGTCCCGATTCAAATCAACAATGTATGAAATGAGCCTGTTTTCCAGGTTCCTTGCCCTCTTTTCGAGCTCTTCATTGACTTGGACGCAATTAAGGCAGAGCAGATTGAGTGGGACCGTTGCATGCAATGATGCAATTTCATCTGCAATACTCTTGAATAGGTTGATTTTCTGAGAATTGAAAAAAAAACACGGATAAGTAACCAGGGAAAAAATGAAAAATGGCTGTCGTACTTGGTATTTCAGGGAACTGACTATTTTTAAAAATATATCATCCATGAATTTAAATCTAATCTATCCGTAATATTTCACAATTAGCAACTTGGCATAAGTATTAAGGCAAACAGAGTTTTAGATCAGATGATTAATTCAAAGTATGCAGTACAATAGTGAAATCTATCTTGTTGGTGGCTCATCTGTTGGAGTTGCATCTTTTAAAGAATAACTGCAGCGTGGACATTCAGATGGGAAACGTTTTACTCAAAAAAGCATTGAATAGTCATACCTTTGAAAAAGAAGAGAGAGCATGTGGCTGCTGCAAAAAATTGGCAGTCTCGGTGTCAGCTTTGCCTGTGAGAAGATCTTGATACTTTCTGTAAGATTCAAGGTATCTGAAATGACAAAAGGCAGCTTTAGTATCGTAAATTTGCATCCACAAAAATAAAAACTTGAAACTGTTTCCAAATAGGGCAATCGGTGTTTCCTAAATCTTGCTTTACCTCACCGTTGATACTACAACACTTAAAATGCAAATCGGACAAATTTTTTGAAAGAAATCAATAGCAAAACAGAACAGGATTTGAAGTACCAACCTTTGTGGCCCAGTTGTATTTTCCTTAAAAACCTCGACTCCTTTCCCAATAAAATCTGTTACAACCGCCTCCTCTACGTTCACAGATCGCAGGGAGAGTTTCTTCGCTTTCAGGTCAGGAAACAGCTCCCCTTCAACCTGGAATGAAAAGCAGGACACTATTAGCATTTTGCAATATGGCAAACAAATATGAATGGTTTTCAAGGGAGTTTTCTGAGGAAAGCTTACAATTATCATAAACAGGAAAAACATTCTACTCCTGCTGTAGGAAACGTCAAAATCTTTAAAAACGAAACAATGCAACAAAGCGTTTCAGTGTTTTGAAATCATCGAACAGAGAGCTTAAAAAGGAGATTCAAAGAAACGAATATTTATTGGATCTTATTTTGATTGTCAAATTTTTACATCGAGGACATGTCACCCAATGAAAACGAAAGGTTTAGAAGATGACAACAATCCTTTTAATAACAACAGATTCTAATGTAGTAATAAAGGCTTTTAATTTAAAAGAAATTTATCAGAAAATTTGTTGATCCAAAGCAAGCTAAGGCCAAGAAACAGCGCATTTAAAAATAGCTATACTTCATATAAACGTACTCTTGGCAGACTTTCTGCATTAGCGACAATCTCAGTAAAGCATCGCATGATGACGTCACGCAAATCAGTAAACTGAGGCTGGAAAGTGATTTGCCTGTCCGTGATTAGAACATTGACAGCAATGACCTGAAAAAGAATGTTTCGTAAAGTGACAGAAATTGAATAGAGACTATAACGAAAATAAAGAAGAGGAGATAATATAGGGGGAGATAGGGTTATGAAAAATCTACCAATGTAACCTGCATGTTGTAGAGTTTAACATACTGCAAGTGGGCGTATATAGATGTTTTGTGTCGCATTCGAGTGATAAATGATCCCAATACAATAAATTGGAGAAGTCTTGTGGGGTCCAATTTGAAAAGCAATCAAATTAAAAGAGAATACTTTAATATAGTATTAATTAGCTTTAGAGCTATGACACATAGAAACTCACGAGAGTATCGCAAAGGCTTATCTTTGCTGAGAAATAAAGTTCACAATTTCAAAGTTGCTGAACAAACTACTAACTTGTTGCTGAACAAACTTTAGATCACTGAATGGTTCTTGAAAATCGTTTCCATTCTGAAAAGAATTAAGAAACATAACTTGTCATAAAAGGTTGAGTTAACCGACGAAGAAATTTGTGTTTATATCTTATCTTACCTACCTTGAGGTGTTTTTACTGACCAAATTACGACTTTGCCGACAAAGTAAATATTTTATCTACTCAATCAAAAAAGGTTAGGTTAACGTAATAGTATATATATTGCATTCATTATGATTTTTGTCTTAAACGCTTGGGTCAACAGAACATTTGTCCATATTCTGCTTAACTCTGATAGCAGAGCTTGCTCAGCTCAGCTTCTTATTGCCACAATGCAGAACTTCTTTGTGATCGCCAGTATGGTTTAAGTCAAGCAAGATCTACAAGTGATCTTCCAGCTTATATTACTTATATTTAATTAACTGTTCTGGAATACTTTAATGCGAATGGACTTTATCGTTATTTCTAAGGCCTTTGATCGCAGCTGGCAAAAAGGTCTTCTCTTTAAATTCTCTACGTATGGCCTGCATCAAACCCTTATCAATTGGATTGGCAGCTTTCTTTTTGATAGATCCTTACGTATAAGAGTTAATGGCTGCCTCTCCAGTGCTTACTCCATTAATGCTGGTGATCTATTTCTTCCACCTCTACAAGTATTAATTCTTTCGCTGATGACCCTTCTCTGAGTTCTCCACTTTCCCTTCACTGACAACATATGTCTGTTATGAACACTCGCCTTCAAGAAGGTATCTCAGCCTCAGTTTACACTGACGGTCTAAGAATAATTGAGAAGTGGGGCAAAGACAGTCTCGTTGGATTTAGTCAAACTAGAATCACCAGGCTATCATTTTACGTAAACGCAACCCTGATTCTCTTCATAAATGACACATATACTTCTTAATTTAAAAAAAATTAAACATGCAATGTAGCAATAAGTCCTTTTTCAAATTACTTTTCTTTCCTAACAGGACTCTTCAGATAACAGCATTGTTATTATGCTGATAGGTTATACTGTCAAAATACCTGTGTTAGTATTATTAATATTGTTCATGTTTTCATGAATAGTACAGATTTGGTTAGTTCACTTTCCTTTCATAACTTTGCTTTTCTGTATCATCCAACCTAAATTGGAAATTTTAAACTTCCTCGTAACAATTAAACTAAAAGCTACTAAACGTATATTTAAAAACTTGGGTTTTCCTCTAGTGTGAGTGAGCTCACATTTCGTCTTCTTTGGAGTACTGGTATCGGATTTTGTATTGGAGTCCAATATCTTTTTAGCGTTTTCTTAACAGATTCAAATCTAAAATTACTTGTATCTTCAATAACTGTAACCTAACATGGTCTCTCCAGCCCCTTCCTTCTCGGCGTTGTGTTGCTCATCTTACATCTACCCACCTGTCAGATATTATCCCTGGTCTCCCGAAGCATGTCCGAAACACCAGCAAATCTCCCCCTGCTTATCATTCCAAGTCTCTTTGCCAAATTAAAAAACTTTCCACAACTCAGCTTACCCTCCGAGAGCTTGTAAACTTTGGAATACTTCTTAAACTCTATCAACCCCCTCCCACACCTTATTCAAAAAATATCATTTAGACCTTCCCTCCCTTCCTTTATTAGTATTTTGCTATAGGTCTGCCACCGACTAATATTAATACTTTCCCTGAAGTTTTCTTGAAGACACTAGCAAAACATAATTGATAATGGAAAATAAGAAAGCAAAATCTATAGATGAGCTACCTGGTATCGTTTGAGAAAATCCAAGAAATCTTTCAATGAATCAAGTACCATACTCCTTAACTGGATGGACATGACAGAAGCAACACAGGAGAAAAACGATTGAATCAATTGACTGGCCTCTGTGTCTTTCCTTGGGATTAAGTGAACCCAACTGTCTTTTAGCGATTTCAAAACATCGGCGCAAGTTGGAATCCACCTTTGAAAAAAAACAGTTGGCTTTGTGGTAATCAAAACTGCAAACTAAGTTTAGAAAGATACTGCAATTTCAGCTAGCAAGCTTTAAGTTAAGTTTAGAAAGATACTGCAATTTCAGTTAGCAAGATGACGCAAATTATATTTAAGTAGAATCAGCAAGTTAAGTTCAGATAGATACTTCAAGTTAAGTTTAGGAAGATACTGCAAGTTAAGTACAGGAAGGTACTGCAAGGTTCAGGAAGATACTGTAAGTTAAGTTCAGGAACATACTGCAAGTTAAGTTCAGGAAGATACTTTAAGTTAAGTTCAGGAAGATACAGAAAGTTACTGAAATTTAAGTACAGGAAGGTACTGCAAGGTTCAGGAAGATACTGTAAGTTAAGTTCAGGAACATACTGCAAGTTAAGTTCAGGAACATACTGCAAGTTAAGTTCAGGAAGATACTGCAAGTTAAGTTCAGGAAGATACTTTAAGTTAAGTTCAGGAAGATACAGAAAGTTACTGAAATTTAAGTACAGGAAGGTACTGCAAGGTTCAGGAAGATACTGTAAGTTAAGTTCAGGAACATACTGCAAGTTAAGTTCAGGAACATACTGCAAGTTAAGTTCAGGAACATACTGCAAGTTAAGTTCAGGAAGATACTGCAAGTTAAGTTCAGGAAGATACTTTAAGTTAAGTTCAGGAACATACTGCAATTTAAGCTTTGGGAGATGGCAAAAGATTCATATGGCAGGAAACATGATTTTGATAATTCGTATGACAATCAAAACTTCCACTGCGTTAATTCGACAGCCCACCTTAAGAATTCATTTGCTCATAATTAAACGTACTATATCCTATCAGATTCATATCATCTTTAAACTGTTATCAATTGGTTGCCATTACGAATACTAAACAGAAATCTGTTGTCAAAAGAATGCTTAACGATTAAACCTAGTTGTTGTAACAGGAAAAATCTTATAGAAACTTTCTTACAAATGACATGAAACAATGAGGAACAGGCTATTGTTAGGCTGGTAAAATATTTGCTATCTTTGATAAAAGAAAGTACGAAATGTATGAAAATTTTAACGTACACTTTTATGAGGTGATCTCTTGCTTTGGCACACTGATTTTTGATGAGTGCTTCGAAATCATGGCAGTACATAGGTGTTCCGGATTCAAAAATTTCGCCAATAACGACAAATCGATTCTTTGAAAATCTGCAAGACACAAAGTGTGGGTAGAAAAAATATATTTAACGACCTTTTTTATTGTTTATGGAGATAGATGACACATACCTTGAAAAAAAGACCATTTAAAAATATCTTACATTTTAAAATAAAGCACGGACATTTTCCATAAATTTGAAAACTAGAATTTTCTTCCACCTGTTCATAAAAATTATATACTTTATCGATATGTAAACTTTTCGTTTCACGCTTAATGCGATCACCAGGAAACTGCAATTTCCCTTTATATATATGCCTATATTGCCTGATAAGTAAAAATATTTCTAAGGCATCAAAGCGGGTGTGATCGTGTCTAGTGACGGCTAGCGGAACCTCAAATGCCAAACTAGAGAAAAAATTGAGTCAGTGAAATATTCGTTGATATAATATGATATGTCAGTGTTCTTTTTCAACTTGGCAAAATATGTCCATTCGAAAAATCTGAAAATCAGTTTGTTTTGTCCCAAGAAGAGCAATTTTGACTTTAACTGACTATATCTCCGGACAAAGACGGGTTTATTGGCACTTATACGTCACAATATTATCTCCTCACAATATTGCATCATTGGGAGGAGCGTATTTAGGTTCTAGATTCCAAAATACCTTAGTTTAAAAAAATCCAATTTTGGACCTCTCAAAATTGTTTTGACAATTTTTTATCTTTGAAATATTATCAAAGATACATGAATTTTCAAAATCTGGTCCTAGGATCACCAAAGGATGAACGATTCCGTTGGAAACCACAATGAAAGACAAAGAAATTTAGCCAATCGGTTATCATTAAGGTATAACATTAATGACTAAGGTATAATTATTTAAAAAGATAATTAGATTTCTGTAATACCGTGAAAAGTCCAAAAAGCATATATTGAAAGCTATTGGAGCATGTAAGGATGCAAATTCCATAAAATAAAAAGATTATTTCTGAAAATTTTTTTTTGATTTTTATCACAAAGAGGTAAAGAACTTTTTTAAGAAAACTATGTTGCAAATATAAGATGATAAAACGTTTTTAGCAAATATAGTTATGAATACGTCGTTTAAAGCTAGAAGGATGTAATTTCATCTTTTGCCATTGATCGGATTTTAAATTCGATGAAAAAGGCAACAATTTCTAACTTTTAGAATTCATTGATTTCAACGGAATATTTACTTCTTTGGAGCTCCTTTTTTATAAAAAAATTTGATTTTACGAGCAAGTTATAGCCTTCTACATTAGTTTAGTAATGTCAAATGTTTAAAGCCCGAGCCTTGTACGATTTAAATTCCTACTTTCATGTTAATGTTTTGAAAGAAAAACTGGAATAAGGCATCCACTAAGGCTCTATAAGATCCAATTCTTTTGGCAATCTGTTCCCAATTCATGTTATTATTGTTTTGAATTCTTTCAAAAGCTCATTTTGGTATTCAAACGAAGGAATACGATTTTAGATGAAAACGGCGAATCAAACGATCGTTTCTTTTTCGTTTTTTTATTGGTGTTACGGCATCCTTGATGGCTCTAAAGGAAATAAATAAACATTCTTCTGCTCTGATACGTCTTACTAAAACAAAACTTTCCACAAGATTTCCAATACAGATGAATCTCATGGGCTGGGTGCTTTTGGTACAGTTAAATATAACGCGTTAAGTGGAATAAGTCTTCCTTATGTGATCCAATCCAAAATTATTTTGCGTCAAGATGTGGGCAACTACTTCCGTCAAAAGTGTACACAAAATTTATGAGAAGAGCACCACAGGATGAAAAGTCATATCATATGGGATATTTCAATCATACCACTAGTGGAACATGTCCATCCTTTGGGGCTTCTAACTTCAAACCTACATAGCTTACGATCAGAAACTGTTTTTGGAATCGGGAAATAAGCATGGCATATTAAATCTTTCGTTAATATGATGGAACTTGGGTTTTATATGGCAAGTACTTGCTTTGCCACTCAATTCGTATCTATAAAGGTGTTGAAAAATGGGACACTTTTTGCCAAGTTGAAAAAAGACTTCCATATAAAATATTTGTTGATATAGAATGAATGAAATAAAACACACACATATATTACTACAGAACATCTGGTTAAAATAAAACAATGTTAAAAGTACGTAAAATTTGTGAGCGCTTAGAAAGAGTTAACGCTTGCTGCCAAACGTTTATCCCAAAAATGACGAGGATCAGCGTTGAGCGATATATTCAATTGAGCTGCCGAAGTTAGAATTGCTTAACAGTTAATCCAGCTCAGATAAAATGCATCAAAATCACGGCTTCTGGATAATTCTAAAACCAGAGACGACAAAGAATGAGAAGCTTCTTCTCTATAGTAATAATCTGCTTGATATCGCTGATCGCTTCTGATAAATTCATATCGACGTGGGTTGAAATAAGGTTATTTCGACCTTTTATGTGCCGTCCCAAGGAGATGTGCTAATCAGTTTAAATGATCTAGTTATACGAGCTTGATAAAACATAATCACAACTAAAGGAAAAGATATGAGCGGATTTCCACATTTCAACCTTGGGGAGTATGCAGAATTTTATACGATTATCCTGGTGCTCTTTAGCAAACACTGAATAAAACAGTAAATCTGACCTTTGATGCCAGTGTTTTTGTAGTTCAATCATAACAGGATGCGTTGTAAAGAGCAATGTCCCAATCTGATCTTTGCTTGCCATGTAAGTTCTGTGCCAAGGAACGGGAGCTCGAATGCATCTAAAATTGTAAGAACACGAGTTGCATGACAAATGTAATCCATATAAAAGGAAGAAATGCGAACAAAATTTACAGAATGTTTTCCCTAATTCTAAGAAGCCTTAGCCTAAGAAATTCTGCTGAAAAAATTGAAGCCACAATGTGTTTCGTATCAAGTGCTTAAAGGGCTTCTTTGTAGAAAAGACGCAGGTAATGAGCTTCGCTTTCAATTGGATTTTTGTTCGCAAACACCTTGCTATGTGTATTATGAATCAATATAGGTTCTATGAATAAAATATCTTAGACCTTAACAATTAGACCTTAACTTGCGATCATCAAAGTCACGATGAAACAGGAAGAAAAATTTTCTTCTCCTTTATAAAGTGTCACTGATCAATGCTATTTTCATCAATCTGAGACGATTGTCCAAAAATTTTATACACGAAAAAAGGGGGATTGATGCAGCACATATTTGTTACTTCCTAACAGGGCCCTCTTTATAGAGCTAACTAGCTCACACCATTTAGGATGGTAGAGAAGTGACCAGCTAAAAGGTTCTCAACACTTTTTCCAAAAGCTTTGATCAACCCACACATAGGTATGCAAACAAACCTTGTGCTGAACGATTTTGGGATAGCTGCAATATGAAGTCTCTCTTTTTCTCTCTGGTCTTTCAGAATGTAGTCAACTAAAAATAATATCTTTATTGGCAAGAACTATCATCATGCAGTCCTTATATATTATCTTAAGTATCAAGACTTCATTAAGTTTATTGAGTATCTTATTTTTGAAAAGGCCAAAGATTGATATGAATGCTTGTAAAGCACAAAGGCAAGAAATAAATTGGAAAAAATCATAAAACGTTAATACAGTACACTAAAATTTTTCACTACAAAACAAAGACAAATGTGAAGTTTTTCTGAAGTACTCTGGTTTCATTAGATTGAGGTTCATGAAGAAAATGTAAACAAAGAAAGGTTTTATAGAAAAAAAAGGAATTGCCAATGAATTCATTGACCAAACTGATACAATTATAGTGGACAAATATATGTTAAAATGTGAATTTCTTTCTGTTTAAAACTTTAAATTTAAGGCTTTTACATAAAAACAGTTACCACTAGCCTTTGGCAGCTAACACTGCTATTGAAAAAAAACTTTCACATATGTTTACTTGAAATTGCACACATTGGTGCATGTCTACCAAGAGGAATCTATGACCATTTCTTATTGGCTTATCAATGCACAATCTGTATTTTTATGGATATTATTTTCTTTTTAGAAAACAATGGTAAATACAATATGTCTGTATGTCTGATATCAATTTGCATCAGAACGGCTCAATGTGATTGTTGTTTGCTATGTTCATCATTGTAAAGCAGGTTAACCAGATTACCTTTGCGCCAATTGGTACAAATTCATCCTTGATTGCAAAAACTGCTCTGAAAATATGCTGAACCTAATTCATGGCACTGATAATGAAAATCCTACACACAAATAAGCATCAAATACAGAAATATCTTACCAATGGCTTTTTTTAGACTAAAAACATAATCATTTTTCACTTCTATGATTAACTGATGAATCAACTTCAGCTCCAAGGATTCATCTGTAAAATTCACAGCAACACGATCATCTACAATTTTCTGTAAAATCTCATCATCTTGCTCCAAGATTGATTCAGTTGGAATACCATTTAGTATGTAATGACAGTATCTCTGTAAAGGGAATTGTAATTAACATTGTTAATGACAAAATTGATATAAAGAGGTAAGAGAACACGCATCTTAGCAGTAGAAGCATGGAAAGAACATTCATGCCATTTGAAAATTTTGTATCACAAAAGGTTCTTATGTAAATTTTGATGGTGACTTTAAAGATGCAATAAGCAAGGCTGCAGGTGGCATTCACAAATGGGTTTGTTGCCTTCAGTATTGTATCTTTCAAGAGCATTGCATTTGTTTAATTTTGAAAACCATTTTAGGCAAAATTGGTTTAACTGCATTGAGTATTTTAAGTAAAAATATTCCAAGTTTAAAGTCAGCATTATTGGTAACCTGGAGGTCTCTTTCTGATGGCTCATTCTCATTATTGTTTTCCTCAACTGTCTGAAGATTGATAACATCCATTTGTTGCTGAGGTGTTAATGGACGACTAACAGGCCACCTGAAAGAGAAAGCTTAATTATTTCAAATAAGAAATTAAACTTTGACATTGGATACTGATAATGTAAGAAGAATGAGTGGCAAACCAGTTTCTCAAAAGTAATTTGTAATTCATGATTACCCTTTAGCTGATCCTTCTGACTTGCTTCTGAGGTGGTGCCTTGGAGTTCTTCTTCTGGATAAATCATCTTGAGCTAGAAGTAGTTAAAGACATATAACAAAGACAATTCTAGTCACACAAAACCTACAGTCAAGAAGTGAATTTTGTTATAAACCGATGTTTGCAGATTATTATGAAGGTTAAAATGCAAACAAAATGAAAAATATAAGATTTCATTTCACGTGCTATAAAGAAGAAAGAGATAAATACACTTTTGCCTAGTTGGTGGTCTAACTTTCACAAGGCTTCTGATCTTCAGGTCACTTGCAGTTGGTGTAAAGTTATTGGCAATTGATTCGCAGGGTGTTCTGTGGTAAGCTGTCTCTTTGAATGGGACGGCACGGGTCCAGGATGAATTCCTCATTATTGGTGGGTGTTCACTGTGTTTCAAAACAATCTAGAAAGGAAAGTTTTTAGCTCTAGAAAAAAATGAAAAGATGGTACTGCTGTTTGAAACTTTTGAAGTATACAACCAATACCTTAAACCAAAATCCACAAGTAAAACAGTATCAGCAAAATGTTCGCAACAATTGGAGCTAGAAGGGGAAAGAGAAAACTTTCCTTGCATTGCTGGCACCTCCAGTTTATGATTAGTGGTGCAGGACTTGACAAACCATATGGAACTGAATCTTGTTCATTGTATGTGCATTCTTAACACTAATGTTGATACAATCAATTGGCAGGGCATTAACTATTTGCCTGAGGTATCAATTTCATGTAAAAGGAAGAACTTTGAAACTTTGATCCCAATCAATCCCAAATGGGCTTTAAACTGTGTACAGTTGCAAATGGCTGTTAAATATAGCAATAATGCCTTAGATTGTACCAATATCAAATAATTACAGCAGATAAATAGTCATAGCAATAGCTTTTGGATGGGATCTGTAGTAGTGCAGTTCAGATGATAAAAAAATTGTTGATTAATTACCTTATAGAGGTCTGAAGGCTCTTCACTGTATGGTGATGGCAGGGGAGGTAACCCAGGCAGTCCTTTTGTCTTTGAACAGTTGTAGATCGGATCTGCATTTTGCTAAAATGACATATTCAACAAACCATGAAAGCGTGAATTATGTTAAGGCTTCTCAAGTTTCAAAAGTATAAAACGTTGATAGAAATGAAGGAAGTGAAAGTTTGATGAATGTGTAAGAAATTAAATGAACATGAACATCTAAAAGAATACGAAAATTACTTTTTCACTTCCAATAAATATATGACAATTCTCTTTTCAACGTAAGCTATGATCAATAATGGAATCGGAGGGTTTTTTCGTCAACAACTTTTACAAAGCGAGGTTTTCAAAAGGGAAGTAGGTATCGCCTTCCACCAACTAAAGCATTAAATTGTACTTTAATTATAGAAATAAAAAGCCGAAAGGGTAGCTGAAATACCTTGATCCTCTCGATGTTGTAGTTTTGCTGCTGCATCGTGCAAGCAACAATTTACCAAGGGTAACAAACAATTGTCTGCAAGAACTTGTGCGATATTAAAAATTGCTTAGCTTAGGCCATACTTGATATCATATGGCGCTATCCATTCTTGGTTTGCAAAAAAAGAAAATTGAATTATCAAAAATAAATCTCTATTGCACTTAGGAGTCAAACGCGATTCACTTGGTTACAATGCCGCAACATCTCTCATTCCTTTCCGCCATAAGTAAAATAATCTCTTGACCTGGAGCAGACGTTGCTAGGCAACAAGCTCAATCGATGCTCAATTATGACCTCGTACTCGTTATATGGAAGCATCGCAAATAGCAACCTCGTCATAATTTTTTTATCCAACATAATCCAACATATTCTCATTCTGTTTTTCGTCGAGAACCGTTAGCATTTGCAATACTAACAGGCATGATGCAAAAGGGATAATTCTTTCTCTTTTTGCTGATATCGCGAGCAAATTTCCTAAGATGTCTTCGTCAACTGCAACTATTTTAACCACTTTTTCTCTTTACTGTGGTCTTAAGATAAAACTATCGAATAAAACCAGTTTTCATCTTTTAATTGGTTCTTTGAACAGAACTTGAACCTTTCTTGCGTTCAGGACCGTAAATCTGTCATGCCAATTGGGGGGTCAGCAGAGCAAATGAATATAAAGTGTGCAGTTGGTCATGGCACCATCAAGTAATCAACGGTATGTGTTATGGAAACAGCTTGAGCGGCAAACGACTTAAAAAACAAATAAAAAACAAAAAGAAAGTTTATTAGATTTTTTAAGTTTTTACCAGCTCTATAAAAGGTGTTTAGAGATATTTCTTAGCACGTTGACTTTTTTATAATTGAGTTGATAACATTTTTTAGAGATAGCTGGAGGAATTTAAAATTTTTTTTTAAATCATACCTTCTAAATAGCTAGAAAGGAACTCCCAGACCAAGTTTAACAAAATACTAAACCGTTCAGGATAGACAAATCGACGTTTCTCAGAAGAACACTGATTATTGTTTGAAAATGGGAAGAGGAAAGGTCATGCTTAAACTCTAGTGACAGACGTTGGGGTAAAAAAGAAAAGGTGTTTTCTATTCGTGAGCAAGCTATTTTTTTTGAAACCATATCGGATTAAAAAGAAAAAAGGATGCATCTAATAACATATTCGGGCTCAAAACAAATATTTCTTAGAAAATAGAGGCTGAGCAAAAATTATTGCATTCTAATAATAAAGGGTGTAGTCATTGCTTCTCTCTATATTACATGCAAAAGTACTTCTTTATTGACGTGGCACTTTTATGCAAATTGATTTTATTATCTTTCCCTTTTTGTCTTTGGGCCTTGTTCCTAGCTACAGTTAAAAGCAAAACTCAGAATTTCATTTTTTGTGTCTATGCTATTATCATATCACTAAATGTGCTGAGGTTTGTTGCAAGAACACATAAAAACTTAGTTTGTTCTAACCCAGTTACCAGTGTTCCTTTCTTTAAAAGAAAATGACGATAATTTTTCAAAAAAATCGTTTTGCTAAAGACTTTTTTAGGGGGGGGGTCCAGTTTAGTATGTCATTACACAGAACTTTATCCAGAGACACATCAAAACTTAAGTTGGATTTGAGTATTATTCTATTAATTAATTAATTTGTAGACGCGTTAGCGAAGGAATCAGATTTTAAGAATTGCAAAGGCCGTAATTATTTACAACTATTTTACGTAAAGTCTCTGGGGGACTTAGCAGGTTTAGCATGTTTAGCAGGTTTTCCCATTGGTGATGAAGGGTGATGCAAAGACGTAAAAAGTAATGGCATTAAAATTACATATCAAAAAAATTTTCTTAATGTCTTGCGACAAAATTGTTATCGTTAGGGTATTATAAGTCAGGTGACCTGCAAAATCTTCTCCACCCCCAAATGATGCCTATAAACATGTTTTTCAAGTCTATCAATATGTTGTTTATATAATATATAGTTAAATTGCGTTTTTGTGGTTTTAAAACAACAAATCATTCAAAAACTCTTCCGCAGAGGCACGCTCCTTTTGCAAAATTAACTAGATTCAATGTTCAAAGATTAGACTTAAGATGACGCTTAAAAGTTTTCAGATTTCTCTGCTCTTTCAGGTTTGTGCTGAGAGCGTTCCATACTACAGGGCCTATGTAGCGTAACGAGTGTCTTCCTACTTCTGTTCTTACTCATGCTATCTCAAAATCATTGAATCCGGCGGACAGCCTATCCTGCGCTTCTCCCTTCTTACACAGTATCTCAAAATGTTCTCCAATTCTGCCTACTTTTCTCCCCAGATGATACAGCATGTATATTCTTCCTTCTTATCGAGCATAACTTTATGCTTTTTCGATCGTGACCCTTCTCTTGTGAATATATGAAAGACTTTGCCATTTTACTGCTGCAAGATCATGTTCATTTTCAACGTGTCTTGGTAACCTGTAGATAATTTTGCCTGCTCTAATATGCTGCTTCTCTATTTTTGAGAGGTTAGTTTTGGAGCAGCTTCCCCAAACAGATATACAGTGGGTGGTGACTGGAATCATTGTTTTATAATAAATGTCTTCTAATACCTGTGATGGTAAGTATTTAATCTTTAGAGCATGCAGACTTTTGAGCTCATCGATTTTGCCACCTTATCGGAATGTACTTTCCAGCTCATTCTATCGTCAATAGTGACTCCTAACACCTTTTCTGAAGTTGTAAAGTCTAGGTATTCCCCCCATTTGTACTGGTAAGAGTGGGCCAATGAATTTTTTGGTTGTTATCAACATTGCTTTGCTCTTCTTTGCATTCACTGTCAATTTGTTTTGAGAACACCAATTATTCATCTGGGACAAAGCTTCACGTAGCTTTTGTACGACTTCATCTACACTATCACCAACTACAAAAGCAGTGGTTTCGTCTGCATACATGTGAACTTCTGCCAATGAAACTGATGTTGGTAGGTCGTTGACGTAGATGGAGAATAATCTTTGACCCAACAATGATCCTTGAGGCACTCCATACTTTATATTTCTCATTGACGAACTTTTGTTATTGATTTCTACGAATTGCTTTCTTCCATAGCTATAATTCTAAAGCCAAGCTAGCAAATCGTCGCTGATTCCAATGTTTATCCTTTTTTCAAAAATAATTTTGTGTTCTATTGAATCGAACGCTTCGCGAAAGTCTATCGATTTTCCCTGGTCTAAGAATTGCTTCCAATGTTCTGTGAGGTACAGAAGGATTTTTTTGGGGGGTGAATGTTCAAATTTTAACAAATTACGGTTGAAATGTTGAAGCATTCTGCCCATTTCTGTGCCAATTCCATCCAGAATCGAAAAAGGCAGTTCTTTGCTTGTCATTTGTATTCAGATCAGTCTTCAGTTTCCAGGTTGACACGGGCCTATATCTAGAATCTCCTAGTTATCGTTTTTTGCTACTTGCTTCATGCTTCCCACTGTAAAGGATTCCATGATCGACTGGACAAATCTCTGAGTTTATTGCACAAGGAATCCTAAAGTGTTTTCTGACAAAGGACCATTAATTTTTTCGCAAGGATTAACTTTGGCTATTACCAGCCAATGCAACATAAAAATAATCGATTAAAAGCAAACTTGCTAATAATAAAATACGGAAAGACAAGAAGACTATCATCAGCCTGTCGCTGGTATGTGATTTGTGGAGACCACTGATCTCTATAAAAGATTAGTGGTGGAGACTCCAAAATTTTCCAGCAGGCATTTAGATTTTCCGACAAACTGCCTTATAGGGGGGCGACGTGCCCTCCCATGCCCCCCCAATTGGCATCGGCTCTGTTGCTATTTGAACCATGGGAGCCGAAGAAACCTGCTTTTCCATTTTGTAAACAAAACTGAAGTGTTTGACTCCTGTTTATTCGACAAAATCTGGTCATGTAAAAGGGCATTCGATTCGATAATCTGAAGCAAAACTACATTCATGACATGTAAACGTCGTTAAGTGAAGCAGACAAATTCCGTCTCCTCGTCTCCTCTTACATCAATTTTTTTACACGTCAGCTGCTTGGTTTCTTTGCTAATGAAACGCTCTTGAGAAATAGCTTCGCACAGCTGTTGTGTGGTTGCATCTAACTTGCTCAGCAATTTTTTACAAATTAAAGTCCGCTTTCCCTTCAATTTTTTATAGCGACTCGCCTCTTATGGACATTTGACATGTTCTATTTTTCTAGAAACAAAAAGTTTTCTGCGTTACATTTCAAATTAAGCCCTCTATGGCGTCAGAAAGATTTTCAAGAATATCTCGCCAAAATTTGCTATAAAGCCTATTTCACCAAAATCATGCATTCAAATGTTTGGTATGGTTAACTGAAGAAGGTGTGCCTAAAAGCGCGAGTGTACGTATGTACATATGTATGTCCTGTTTCATGATTCTTTTTAACCTAAATGTGTCTCTGGAGGAAAGCCTACAAAGAATCAACATTTTGAAAGCCGATTGTTCCATAAAGCACCATTATCAAACACTTTTCTTCACGCTTCTCTTGAGACGTTACTTTGTTGCCATGACAACAAAGCCTGTAATCTTTGCACCTTTGGTCAACCACAACAACAGTTTTCCAATAATCAACATGGTTGCCCACAGAGAAGATTAGTGAACGGCTTCGGTTTTCACTCGTACTGAATGAGAAGGGTTCAGGCTTCAACTCAGCTTTTGATCTTACAAGTTACAGTTCTTTTCAGAGAATATCCCGCAGAATTTTAGTTGGAATTAATGAATTAAGAAGAATGTTCGTCGTTGGAGTATCACCTGTCTTGCTGTGGAAGGTGGCAGTAAGTAAGAAAAGAAATTAGGAAGAAGGACTCACCTCTAATTCCATATGGACGTAAGGAAAGCTGACTCAATAAGGTGCAGTTCTGGAATTGGAAATGACTGTGGACATTGTGAAAGCTGCATTTTACGACGAAAATTGGCTTTTTCACACCAATGGATGGTCCGTATATCCGAAAGCAGGAAGCAAAAATACATCCGTATGTTGCTCCAACAATACAGCACAATGGAACTAACAAGCTCTCTACTAGGACTGCTACAACCTTTGCAGTATAAAGATTTTACATATGCAAAATCCAAAGTTAATTCGACTTTTGATAATGAATTATCGAGCATTGCAAATCCTTTTGACAAATCAATTCAGTCTGATGCAGTGACGGATTACATGTTGGAGGATGAGCAGTGGTTTCTGGCCGCATCACACTGGGCAAAATTCAACTACATGATAAGCGTATTTAGATTTTGCAACTCTTACACATTAGAGAATCTAAAATCATTTCTTGCCAAACTTTATGAGAAGGGCCGGAAAAAGATTTTAAGCACAAGCCATGGTTCTATTGGGGATACCCTTGGAGAAACGTTGAGATATACCTCAATCACTGAAAAAGGTAACAATCCACATGGAAAGTTTTGATTTGAGAAAACATAAGTGATGGGTTTTATAAAGAATTTAATAAATACTGCAAGAAATGGGTTTTGATAATTTGCTGTGAAATGATCAAGCCTTTGCTTTCTAGCATCAGATCCCATAAACGAATCAGTGTGTAAAGTGTATGACTGAGATTTTTTGTCAGGTGGGCAAATTCTTTCTGGGAGTAAACTTTGCATTCTGGCTTAAAAGGACCATCATTAATGTCTGCGAATCAGTTTTGAATATGTGCAAATTACTTAGATATATGTTTGATAATTTATGCACTTTGGGAATAGTCATAGAAACAATTAGACTGCATTTTGAACCAATTATGTAGCAATAGAATTTATCTTGCTCTTTATGCAGAGGGTATTATATATTATTTAACTGATTGTCACCACAAACTATTTGAGAAATATGAATTGTGAGATGTCTTCAATTTGCAATTAACTCTTTTGTGAGATGTTTTTTCTTTTGCTGCAGATTTCCCAACCTTCAAAAATGAACTGGTTGCAAAAAAGTCAAAGTCCACTATATCTTTTAGTTCTTCAAGTCAAAGGCCATCTTGTTCCATTGCCAGATTTTCTTCAAATTTCAAACAAGATGATAACATTGATGCGGATGATGATGAAAACAATTTCTTTGAATTGAATGATTCATGCTCCTTGCAAAGTACTCCTGTTTCCACAAAGGCATCTCTTTTTTACCAACAGTCTCATCATTCAAGCCACCTCAGTGCAAGATGCCACCCATATACTGGTTGGCAAAATTTTTCAAGACATGAAAGCAATGCTGGAGATAGTGAACAATATCTTTCCTGTGAAATCGATGACTTGGGGGACTCTGTCGGAATGTTTGAAACTAGAATTACTTACAATGCCTTACCAAAACAGCGTGATTTTATAAGAAGGCTTCCTGTTCATATATCAAAGTATATTCTAGGATTTTTAGACCAACCAAGTCTAATGAACTGCATTTGTGTGAGTAAACATTGGAGAGTTCTTGCAGAGGAAGTGAAAAATGAAATGCTTGCACAACAGATTACTAGGGAAGACATAATGCTTATTCAGGTAATTGATTTGTATTTTAGCTTCAAGTAACCAGTGAAAAAAACCAGCGATTTTTTGCTTGAAATTTGAGAACCATTTTCCAATACAAAGAATGAAGTCTTCTTGCATTAGAGCCTTTGATCTGCAAGTATAGTTGATGGCTCGTCATGGATGCAATTCAGTTGGGAGTAATCCTCTTGAGTTGGGAACTAACCACACTTTTTTATTTTCACCTGTCTCTATCCTTTACAGACTTGCTTTTCAGGCTGTTTCCTGTCAAAGAGAATTTGAGGTTGTTGGCTCGATTCTTTGCGAACAGGAAAGTTGCAAAGAGATCTTAGGTCTTTGGCACCTTACTAGATAATTCTAGCCAATTTATGATTTATAATTTTTCAGAAGCATTAAGATGGATTTAATTTTCTATTGCAAAGATTAGACTACTGATCCCATTTAACAATTCTTTTTCTAACTCTGAAATGAAATATTAATAGATTGTTATTTTTCTTTGTAACTTGGAATAGGGCAAGGTGTGTTATCACAAAGTTCAGTGTTTCTTTTAATCAAAATCAAGTGTTTTCCACTTTTTTCTGTGCCAAACGATTTATATTTAGATACAGGCTGCAAAAACTATCAGCAATGGTCTTTTCTTTTTTTTTTAGCTCTTTTTTTCATCTTCAGGGTAGCACAGAAAACATCCCAAATCCAGTGTATGCGCGAATTATTTCTTTACATGTACCAAAAATAACTGAGAGTGGAGATTTTATACTGAATGATCAGGCAAGACACATTGATGTTATGTCGAATGGTGAAAATTTTGAAGACGAGAATATGCAAGATTGCTATGATGGTATTGAGACAATAACTGTTGATGTGGAAGCGAGGCATGTGTACTGTGGCGCATATAACGTGCTGGTTCTGAACAGTATGTAAGTCGATTTTCATGATATTTGAATGAAGGTTCATTAACAGCCAATGGTTGAGTCGAGGTGGCTATTTTGTACGTCAAAATCTTCATCTCTAAAGCTGGTTGGCATGTTATGCTTTTTCCAGTCATGTGACCTCTGGGCCAGTTGTACTTCATATTAAGCCTTACATAAAAAATGGTTACAAAGTCATAACATTCTGAAATTTTATTTTGAATACTATGAAATGCATGTCAGCTATAGGTCCTGTGTTTCTAAATGTTATCTTTTCTGTTGCTCCTGCCACGTACATCGTTGCCAACAATTTTTTTCAAGTCTCTTTTTCTTTGTTTTAAAGCCTTTCAAGCTTACAGCCTTGTGTGGCAGCGCTTTAAGTTTTTCATATACTCTTTTTAATAAAACGTTACAGTACATATCACTTATAATGTTAATAACGATCTGTTATGCAATACTAACCAACGATATTATGGAGTAATGTGCTTAATGTGCTATAAGGTAAAGCGTAGGGCACGCGTGAAGCACTACTGCTGGGTGGCTATCAGCCAGTTTTATGTACAAACTGTATTAAGTCGATGCACTTCAATGATAACTACTTTTCATCTACAGGAAGGACAGCCATCGAGTTACTTTCTACGATGGCGGAAAGTACGTTCCAGTTGCATCTGTGGATAGAAGAATACGACTTTTGGATGTGAAGTCTGGCCGATGCGAGAAAACAATTGTCGAGCATGTTGGTTCAGTGAAGTCAGTTTGCACAGATGAGACAAGAGGGTTTGTGTTGAGCGGAAGCTACGACACGACAATCAGGTGGGTTGCAGTACCTTTACTTGACCAGAAAAGCTATCATCGTGGCAATAGACGGTAAGAAAGTCTATAAGCCAAATTGTTGCTCTTATGTTTGCCGTACTTTTTTATTTTGTATCTATAGCTACAAGTTTTCTTACAAGGGAGATGTAATGTGACATTTATTACTCACTTTTTGGTGAAACCAGATGGCTTACATCAAGATTATGTACCAGTGAACTGAAAGCAAACATGGACGTATAGAAAGCATTTTACAATCTTTTTATTCATTCGGAAATCATTGGATATGCATTACGAGCTGCAGGTGGTTTCCATGATCAAAGATGGTCCACGATTATGGCAACCTATGATCAAATATATTTATGTTCTTTGTTTATCGTTGTTTTGCCACAAAAACAAAGTGCAAGGTACTGGCTTAACATCTCTTGGACGGTCAGTTTGTGCGTGCAGATACTCACTATTTCTACAACTGCCAGGTACTGGCATAACATCTCTTGGACGGTCAGTTTGTTGTAGACATTTATACTCTAGAAAGTGTCGGACTATGTTCCTGTTTCCATGCTAACTTCAAATATTTTGGAGCGAAAGGCCAAGTAGATTAGACAATGAGTCAACCTATTTTTGTAGATGCAACTAAGGAAGGTCTCACAGATATAGGGCTAGCAAGCCGATGGGGATACAGTGACGAGGATAGAACGAGGAACACTTTTATAGGTTATTGTTGGTGTAAGGGGTCTCTGGCTATACCGAACGGAACTATACCGAACGAATAAAAAAGAAATGAACGGTAATGCAACTCTTGGCGAAACAAAACGGGTAGATCTATCATTGGCAAGCTGTCGCTTTATAAATTTATATTTTAAGATTTTCATATCGAAAAGATAATGAAACTGATAATAATAATGATGTGGAATTTACATTCTTTAATAACGATGAATGTAAGTAAATTGTGCCAGGGAAATTTTTTTTAAATAAAAATCATTTTTTTCCTGGTACAATTTACTTACACTCATCGTTATTATAGCATTATATTGTACTGCACGCAATCTAGTGTAATTGTTTCTATGAGTTTGAAGCGTAATTGAAAATCTTGCCTGATCCGGAATGTGTATTTTTCGGTTTTAGAACATACTGAATAAGGTATCCACGTATCTGTCATTTCAAATGTAATAAATTTCCTTGGTTTTATGCTGCTAAAGAGTATTTTCACAGCGGCAAGGGTACATAGATTTTTGAAAACTGATCTTTTTACTTAATCATAAGTAACAAATTGATTTAAATGCCTTGTTCAGGAGCTTCATTTCCGGACAGTTAGTGGAGGACAGCTTGATTCGATATCACAGCTTCTTTAAGTCATATTAAGTTGTTGGATTTAGTGTGTTTTGCTACGCAATTTGTGCCTTTCTTGTGCATTCAAAATCATCATTGCTGTATGATTAGCTGCGGACTATCAAAAAATGATGACTGACTCTATGGCAATCAAAATGGATAAACAATAGAAAGAAATGTCAAACTGTTCTAATCAATGCTCGTTTGTCAAAAGGGTGGTCCACTTCCTTGTCGCATTTGTGTTCCGTTGTAAGCAGTTATTGGTACCGCATCAGGACTGTTTCAGATACTTTGCTTTTCAATGTTGACTGCACTTATGATGAGTCATGTTGTTATCTTCATATGTGCATTACATTGAGTCATATTGTTATCTTCATATGTGTACTGCTGTGTTATTGAGCAACGATTGTCAGTGCTTTTAAGCTCTTGGAGAGAAAATTGTTGCATATCCTTGTGTGATTAAGAAAATTCTAATGAAATTGATTATCTTTGTAGATTCTGGGATATTAAAAGTGGAAGATGCCAAAGAATTTTTCTTGGGTATGTTAATGATATTAACTTCAAATGATTTTTATGAAAGCCTTGCTTACATCTTAATGAAAGCCATTGTTAGTCTAAGGGTCTGGAGATCTCTACAATGCCTTGTTGCATAGTTTGTTTGAGAGAATCTTTGATTGTAGAGAATGGGATTTTTAGCGCATAACCAGTTGCATGACCAGTTGTCCTTTAAAATGGCGCTTTCGATTATCGATAGAGCTCCATGGTTGCGCATGTCTTCCGTGACGCATGGCGCATGATAATACTACTTCCACCGAATCAATTCAGGCAACCTCTCTTTAGTCCTTGAAAATATACATAAGGTAATTATAATTTTTTCAACTTTTCGACAACTGACATTATTTTAGCAAGGTGTCTTTAAAAATCAGCGTTTCAGCTGAAGGGGATGTAGAGGCGAAAGTTTTCAGTTGTGTTTTTTACATTTCTTTTCACAGGCACAAAAGCTCCGTTGTGACATTGAGTTTGAGTAAAAAGTATTTAGCAACCGGTTCAACTGACAAAACTTGCAAAGGTTTGAAATTATATTTGTATCAATCACTACAACGATTAGTCAATAGTTATCATCAGGGCCCTGTGACTCTTTCGCAAGGACCCCATTATAGAAGGAGAATATGCAGTCCCTCCAACGGCGATCTTTTGATTTCTGTGAGACATCTCTGCTCATGATCATCAACTTCTAACCCCACCCCCCTTTCCCTTCATGTTCTTGCTCAAAACTTATGTCAAAACAGCTACTACGTTATTGTGATTGGCAAAGTTATTGTGAATCATCCGCAAACATTGTCATTTTTTATGATTCTTCCTTCCTTTGCACGACATTCTTGAGTGCTTTTCAATTCTTTTACTAAACAGAAATGATGGGTTTTTGTTTTCAATTTCAATTTCAGTCTGGAACTTAAACACTGGTAAATGCATACGGACTTTCAGGCACAAGAATGTGATTCACTGTGCATCGGTAATTAGAAATTTCATTATTTTCTACATAGATGTAGTTTAAATAATATTTAAAATAATAATAAAGCGAGTTTAAAATTGACTGGGCATCTTTCGCTGTCATCGTCTTCTCTTTTATCTTTCTCCCAATACTGTTTTTTTTGCTTTTCCTGCCTCCTCCTGCTGTTTTATATTTTCTCCTTTATCGTCTTCCTCGACTTACCTCATAGTCTTTCTGGTGTTATTTTCCTTTATGCTGCTTTCTCTCATAAAGTCTGCATCAAACTGACGAAAGCAACCCTATAATTTGAAATTTTCATCTGATATGTGACAAAAATTTGCGTATTTGCCAACATAATAGAGTTTCTCCGGGCGATATTTCTGCAAGTAAAATATTGAAATTATCTCCTTTTTTATAATCGTGGTCAATGGGCAGGATGAGGCACGGGCAACTGTCTTAAAAATGCCTGTTTTTTGATAAGGCTAACCTGTGTCAAAAGACGAAGCTGTGTTTTATGCTGTGTTCGCCCTTTTCCGCTCTATCCCTATATAGAGGCCTTACACACAATTTTTTTCCACATCTTTGTCTTCCTTTTAAGATGATTTAGATCTGAGGGTAGCCCAAAAATTTTACAAAAACTGTTGCTCTGTGTCTGTGTTTGTAGTTTATGCAGAAACCAACTGAGGGTTAAAAAAGTAGCACACGATTTGTCGACAACTGTGAAAAGTAGGAAGGATTCAAATTTCTCTAAATATTCGTCATTATTTTCGAATTTCTATTATCTATCTATCTTTATTTTCTATTATTATCATTTAAATATTCGTCAATATTTTTAAATCTATGCTAATTTAGATTATCAGTATTAGAACAACAAGCTTGAAGTGAATTTCTGAATCCGAGAGCAGGATTTCCTCTTGGCGCTTTGGATTTCCAGCTGGTTTAGGCGATCCATGAATTTAAAAACGGTCAAAATACAATCATCGATTGCGTATGTTTCATTCAAAACGGCCAGCTAAATTCGATCAGGTTGTCGGTGTTCCACTTTGCCTGTTGTGCATTATCAGTAACGCCCGCACATTGTAATCTCTCTAGATCGGCGAGCAGCTGCTCTTGACAGGATGCGCAGGAGGGAAAGTGAGAGTATGGGATTTCAAGATGGCTAAATTGATGAAAGTACGTGTTTTGTCGTTTTAATTGGCGACGAAGCTATATATAATCGTATTAAAGCAGCTGTTGTAATTGATTTATGCACACCCTCACATTTATTCACAGATTATCTTGAAATCCATTTTTTAGCATAGGCCTTAGAATCTCGTTAGCAAAAAAATGTTCAATCGTCTATCCTCGATTCCATGTAATCAAGTAAGTTGCTCCCAACGGCTTCTGCGTCAGTGAAGCCTTATATAGCCTTTTATTTAAAGTTGCTTTTCAAGCTTAGACAAGAAAGGAAAGCCGTTGCGGAGCTTTATTCTAATATCAAAGGTTTTTTGAAGCCAATTCCATTGACTTTGCATTTGTAAAGATATTAATCAAAATCATTCCACTACAGTCTCTCGAAGGTCACATGGGACCTATCACGTGTACAAAATTTGATGAGAACCACATTGTGACTGGCAGCAAAGACTGTTACGCAATGCTCTGGAGTACCAAAGGCAACTATGGGCGATGCCTGCAAACATTTCGCCATCCAAAGTAAATTGGGTTTATTTTTATTATACTGTACTTGTATATTATCACTGCAGTTTGTTATTTCGTGTCATAAAGCAACGCTTTCAGGATTTTCATCCATTCATGAGCATTGTAAAGTACTAGTAGTAACAGTTTTATTGAAGCTCAACCAGTCTTTTTATTTCCGTATTCTTTATTGACTCTCTAGATTATTATCCATTAATAGATTTCGTTGAATTATTGTCAAGTAAGTAATTAATGCGACATTGTTACTGTTATCAGTGGCTCTTTTGAATTTGTTACAATTTCTGAGCATTGTCAAGTGGCCTGCATGCTTAGAAATGGATCCCAATTGGCAAGAGGTTTCCTTAGTAATTTTTAGCGACATTTTAGTTCCTAAATATTGATTTTACAGCATAAATTTGTTCTCCGCCAGATTATCTTATTGATATAACTTGTAGTTAGTCGACCTTTAGAAATCAACTTATGGAAACTATAAGAAGTAGCTTATTATCTTATATGGAGATAAGTCTCATAATTGATTTCCTGTTTTTTTAAGGGAGGTCAACTGTCTTGAAATGATGTATTGCAGAATCATTACCGGGTCTGTCGATGGCAAGGTAATAAAAATTTTCAATTTATAGGAACTGTTAGGCTAGACTAGATTATCAAATTGACGATATCCAGAAAACATTGTTTAGAAAATCTTTATATTTTGTGCCGTGTATTGAGTGTATTCAAATTTTTGTCAATAGTCACGGCTTTTCAGCGGAACCTCCAGGGCGGGCAAAACGTATTTGAAAGTGGAGGGGCCAAACTATCAAAGCCTTGAAAAGGCCGCCACCATGGTTGGTGGCAAGGAAAATTTCAGAATTATGGTGTCTTAAGGATGCCCAAAAATTGTATCTAAAATGAATTTTGACTGAAGGTGTCACATAGTCGTGTCTATTTTGATTTTGACTTGAAATAGAAAAGTTTTGCAAAGTTTTAGAATAACCACTATCATTTGGCTCGTAATGAAACCTTTTTTTAGATTTTAGATGTACCCGAAATAAGATAGGGAAGAAAAATAAATGAAACACGGATTAATAAAAACATTAACGTTGAAATATCAACAGAAGAACTATCAACTAAAAATAAAAAGTTAAGCAATTTTGTACAGTTAAGATATAGCTTTGTAAAATCTGATCTCAACTTTTTCGGAAATTAAGTGTTTTAACAAAAATTTGAAAAACCTTCAATCTGGGCTTGTCAAAATGAGCTTAAATAGAATTTATAATTGCGTCGGTATTTTCCCTTTCTTAGTAGGAATGGATTATCCAAACGATCAAACACTGAAGTTTTCTTGATGATACTTTTTCAGAACCAATCTGCCCATACTTTATTTCTCATACCCTCAGAAAAGTTCTTTCCAGCTGTTTCTTTTCCTTCAACAGCTGGTTTCTATCTTTTTGTAATATTTCTGAGAAATTTAACATTCGTTAACAAATAGACCTTGTGTGCCAAGTTTATGCAATGGAAAAAATCCGTCAATTTGTGCTGGCGCCAAGTTATTCTGGACTAGATTTCTCGATCTATTTGCTAAGCCAAGCTGTTACTCGTTGTAAAACTTAGACAATGACCGATTTCTTCGATCTAATTCCCATATTCAATTTTATGTTTGTCTTTTATGATAAATACATAGCAACCAAGATAAAACTAAGGACACATCTAAGAGAATACTAGGAAAAGTTACTTACAGAATCATATACTACATTTATTTTCACTTTTGCCTAAGAAATTTTCTTTAGCTCTGCAGAAAAGTGGGGGGGGGGGGCATGGCCCTTCTGGCTTCCCCGGTCTCGATGGCCCTGACCTCTTGCATTTTGCATCTTGTGCAATAAAAGTGGAATTTTGGATAATAATGCTGCTTCGATGTCACCAGGATTCGTAATGGGTGAAGCCCAGAAAATGGTCGTCAAGTCCCCAATTGAGATGGCTCATCAACATTTGTTTGATTTCTTCAAGTGAAATTCGCAATACTTATCTTAAACCTTTGGTAATTCAAGTACAGACCTTAGGTTATCTAAGAAAAAGTCAACTAATGACCAGAGATGTTGTAAAGTATGAAATATATAGTCCTGAGTAACATATTTATTGTAATCAACCTCTCTTTTCATTAGATAAGAGTATGGAACTTGTTAAATGGTGAATGCTTAAGAATAATCCGTGGCAACAGTCGCAATGATCCGATTACTGCCTTATACGCAAGCGAAAACAGGTAATTTGTGCAGTCGTTTTAAATGATATTATTTGCTTTACTCATTCGTGCTTTTATGCACTTTTATGCTTTCTCGAATTATCTGTTCTTTGCTTGTATATCGTTTTAGTTGGCCTGCTCGACGTAGACCATATAGGCTATATTTCGACATGTTGATGATCATTAATTCTTTATTTAACTGCTTTTTACTAGTGTGAATTGTCCGTTCTTTCAGGCTTATAATTAACACAAAAAGCAACCTGCTTCTCTACAACTTTGAAGCAGTAACATGGGATTACCATGCACCAGCCGAAAGAATGAGCGATTACTTTCGCAAAGGGAATTCACTTGCCGAAGACAGGCCTAGGCAAAGCTGGGCGTTCAACAGAGCTCAGGCAATGAGACGCGGGGAGTCTGATTTGGCGCGGAAGAGCATTCTAGTAACTAAACCAAACGGGGATAATCTTACAAATCAAAGTGGTTTCCCGAGTCGCAGCAATCGTGTTAACAGTGCACCAACATGGAGATCAAACGATAATTCAGTTCAAAATTCAGTTCAAAAGCACATCACTCGAATTCACAGTGCTGTTTCTACCCGTAAAGCGCTGGTTGATGGAGATATAAAAGACCCGGGTTCCAGAAAAGGACCGAAAAGCCTGTCAAAAAAGACCGAGAGCGATTCAGTGAGAAAACCTGTTGATGGAAATAAAGACTTTGAAGTGAAAAAAGCATGGGGAAATGTCCTAGATAAAGGGTTGTCACATACACGTTCACCGGTGAAATGTAGGGAGGAAGGTAGTGGACTCGATCTGAGTCAGCAGCGAATCATAACACGGAGCCGATCAGCTCCTGCTCACAGAATCAGGTCGTTACCAAAGAACGAGCGAGGGTTTACCAGCTCTTCTCATGTAAACATAAGAGTTTGGGAAAATAAATTGAACTTAACGAAACCGGCTTACAAAAGCAATATAAGGCCATTTAGTGCATCGACAACATCTATGAAAAACCCCGCCGAAACACTCGACAATTTAAAGCTAAAAACTTTCTATCAACAGTTGCAGTATGAGACACAACTTTCTGGGAAAAAAAGCCATGGCAAAAAAGACAAATGACTTTGAAAAGCTAAACAAAATAAACTATATTTTGCATGCACAATTCATGATGCTTTTACACTAGCATCTCTACGTCTACTTCTGGCAGTCTTCAACTGTAGCTCAAATTAGACACCATCTGTCCATTGCTTGCTGATGCATAAAGCATAAACTCATATATACATATTCGGATAACCTGTACCAGTCGCCTGCCTGTACAATTCATTCATTTCCGTCAACCTCACAGCACGATGCATGTAAATATCATTGATATAGAAATATTTTTCTTTAACCAACTTGAAGATATCTGTTTGTATTTTTTTCTTCATTTGACATTACAATAGTTATCACATTGAACAAAGCCAAGTGCTCCCAAACCTCTCTATGCCAAAACCAAATATTCTGTTTTATCACCCTAATATATTTTTCCAATTATTTCATGATATTTCATTTTTTCCTTTTTGCCTTTGATATTGTTTGTCTTTTATATGCCGAATTAATTTTCCTTTAGCTGCAACCAGTTTTTTTTAAATATTTTTTTAAATACTTCTTAAATTCTTTTGATTTTTAAATACTTCATGAATTTATTTTCATCATTTTTACGTTAGTGTTTCATAAAGCTCTGTTCATTTTTATTTTGTGTTCATGTTGCGCTCCTTTCTGCTTTTAATGATAAATTTATGTTCATAATAACGAGAACACACTTTGAGTGGATTTCACTACCTTCTGCACTCTCAAAGCCGTGTATCTGGATAAAGTCCTATTCACTTGAAAACCGAGACGTTGAAACGCACTGGAATTAATGTTAACACAAACTGTAGAGGTCTGATGTTTGGAAGTTTGCTTTTGCTGTGTGGTTCTACATTGTTGCCGCCCGATGCGGGCCATGTGATTAGAATCTGTATATGCAATAATCATGCTTCGAAATTCTTTTATAGTTCCAACACCCTTCATTTCTACGACGCTGGTTTCTTCAATTCTTCTACTGGTTGTTGCGAAAGTTTAGTGTTTCTTTGTCATCTGGTTGTGATAATGTACAAAAGGCTTCTTCCGTGGCGTACATATTTAAAGCAAGCAGATTGTACTGATTAAGCTGTTCTGAGCAATGGATTTAATTATTGCTTGCGTCATACGATTATCAGAGCAGCTTGTGGTCCTTTTTCCTAATTATGGCTCGCTCTAAAAGTGCTTAAAATATTAAAAAGCAGAACACATTTTCTAGAAAAATTAAAAACATTCACGTATCTAATTATAGGAACATTGGGAAACATTTTCTCTATGTGAGCTTTTCCAGTTGGGCTTTTCTTTCCTCAGGGAAAAACGCGAATATTTCAAACCTGTGATTAGCTTCAAATCTACATTGGTTGTTAGTGCGACCCAGACAGGTGTGAAGTAGCTGGCAAACTTTCTTCTTATCATGCTTTAAATGATCGGCGGGTACGGTGAGTTGTTCGTAGAATTGACGGGTTCAGCTTTTCCAATGTAGGGCACTAGTATGCCGCAAATCAAGCGAAGTATTTACATTAAGTTGATGCAGCATCATTTTTCTTGTAAATGAAACATAAACCTCGTGACATTTAGAGACTACTGTTGGAGGCACTTCATCATCTTTTCTTTGATGGTGGTTTACGGCGGCAAAAGCGCCCCAATCTGAGCCTCAGTCACATTTAAATCATCTTTATCAGTTATACAGTTATAAAGTTATACAGCTAAAAGCCTGTAAGCTAGATTCACAAACTTGGCAACTGCAAATCTAAAGGCCTGTTTATATGAAGTGGGCAGTGGGCTAGCCCACTTGCGTGGGCTGGTTAACTAAGTGAGGTCCGTACTTTCTATACAATTCTTTGTATTTGCAGTTACATGGAGAGATCCTGCTCAGATGAGATCCGCGAGAAGGACAGGTGGGATCCGCATTAGGTGTGATGCAAATTATCCATGTAAACGCGATCAGGTGGACTAGCCCACTCACTAAATGCTTTGGTAGAGGAAGTTGGCGCCAAACTAAAGCAAATCCCCCAAATCACAATGAATCGGCAGCAACAGTTTTGGCTGTTCTGTTAAAACCGTAGCAAAGGCGTACAGAAAAAAAGAGAGGATTGAAATGACACGAGCCTGTCGATCGCATACATTTGATAGATCGAACACAGAATCAGAATTACGTGTAACTAAAGTACGAATTCGAGCATACCGTATAATTTAACGGTCAGGAAAGGAGTCAATTTTTTTTCATTTCTTGAGGAAAACTGACATTCATTGTTGGGGCGCCAAAAGCTAAAAAAACTCATTTAAAATTTTCAAATAAGAGCGTCCTCGTGTAAACAATTGCGAATACGATCTCACCTGTGGAAACTAGCCAACTTCATGTAAACAGTCCCTAATGAGTAGTTTATCTAGACCGAGCATAGATTTTAAATAGGTTGATCAGGAAAACCACGTGCTCGATTAGTATTGTGCAATGTTATTCACGCTGTTTCCTTCACAATGTCATCCACGCTGTTTCCTTCACAATTACCCCCACACTTCCGTCATAGCGGCAAAGTCTTCAAGAGAGATGCGCTTGGGCCCAGTCTCAATCGCACACATTAAGGTCGGGTGAAATGGGTTTTCAATGCTTTCTAGCGCGGTTTAATGCCTTGAAACAGCTCTCAACAATCTTGTTCCGATATTTTACCAAGTTTAAAAACTTTCTTTTTCATTTCGAATGTAAATAAACAACTTTAATAAAAGTCCAGAGGGACAAGGGGAAGCATTACCACCCGACGAGGGACTTTACCAGATCAACCTTTTTCTAGACCAGTTTTTAGTGTAGAATTCTGAGATGCAAGGAGTTTTGTCTAAAAACTAGGATGCAGCCTGTGAATGAGCTGTCAATAACCACACGAAGAGGAACTTTACCAAACCAACTTTTACGAGACTAGTTTTTGGTGTAGAATTCAAAAAGAAATGTTGATAGGGTGGGAGAGGATGCTTTTGCAAGAATAAAAAGAAAGAAAATTAAGCGAGTTTATGTAAAAAGCACTGCCATTTATGCTTTGGAGATTTCATCAGCTCTTTATGGCATTTCTTTTACTTTATCGTTCAACCCGTTTCAGAGACTGGCCCATCTAAAGAACACACCTGATAAGCTGATGTCTTTAACAAAGGAGTTCTAAGTTTTCTGTTGGAATTCCGCAGTACGCGAGAGGTCGTTTCGTTAACTCTAGTAAACATGTCGCTCATATAAAACAGCGCCTCACAAGGTATTTGAAAACCATTTTAAGTGTTTCAAGATCAAATGATTCCCTCACCGTCGGCCAGGCAAGAGTACGAATTAGTGGCACGGCTGACTGATCATATCAACTTCCTGACTCTCTTTTGTACATTTGTTTAACAGTGGATGCAGGCACGTACCTTTTAGAATACCCCAATATGCCAATACCTCTGTCACTGAGCTGGAATATTTTACTTTTCACTGAACTATGACTACTGCCAAGATAAAATAAGGAACTTATTTTATCTTGTTACTATCTTATTTCACTGCTAACGTAAAATTTAAGCGATATTTCCGCGTGACAGAGAAGACTATTTTTGGTAAAAACTTTCCGATAATCATCGATAAGAACCTGTCGGCTGAAGTTCTTTCAATCAAAATACGCGATTCTCTGAATTCTTTTATTTAATTTGCTAAGAAACATATACTTATATTCATCCTTTCTGTTACGAAAGAAAAAAAACAGCAAAGATAGAAAAGAAGTGCAAAAGGTGTACATATATTCTAATTATAATATTCTGTCATTAATGGAGACCGTATACACAAAGGACGAAAACATATTGACGTATTCCACTTAAAGTATCACGTGGAGAAATATACTTCATTGCGAAAAGTTTCTGTCATTCTGGGAAGAGAGAAAGTTCTGTGGATCCTCGTAGAATGCTTCGGCAATTTTGCGAACAAACGTAGAACAAAATTGGAAGGTTCTTAACACCAAATAGCTCGGCAGCTGGTTTAATAACTCGAAGACCTTGTCCAAATTTTGGTCCACCGCAAAAGTCACATGGTGATAATCTGAAAAAAGTGTATCAACTGAAGGCGCGTTTTCAGTACAACAGCAAACAGAATATCAGAATATTACAAGAGGAATATATAGTAAGGTAATAAATGACGGATCTTTGATGATCTAAAATACAATGACTTGCATGATATGATGAATTAGCGTTTCATAATATAATATAATATAATATAATATAATATAATATAATATATATAATTAATAATATAAATAATAATATAATATATGATAGATATAATATAATATTATAATAATATAATATAATATAATTAATATAGATATAATATAATATAAATATAATATAATATTAATATAATAAATAATATAATATAATATAATATAATATAATATAATATAATATAATATAATATAATATAATATAATACTTACGATTTCATTAAGCTGTTTAGCTTCACATCTTTTGAATGAATATAATATAATATAATATAATATAATATAATACTTACGATTTCATTAAACTGTTTAGCTTCACATCTTTTGAATGAATATTTAGATGTAAATTTTTTTGTGCCAGATACGTTGCACAGCTTTCCAATAGATGCTAGGGAATTGAAATAGAATCGTAAAGATATATTAATTATCTTAATTTCTGTGAAGATGATACCAAAACAATGTCCGCCTTAAAGATGAAAAGGAAATTGATTACACAGTTATTCCGAATATACAGCGTGGAATTTAATCGTAAAATATATTTATTGATAATGTACTGTATATTCAATGAGTTATTATGAGCGTAATAGACTACTCCTGAATCATATTGTCGTCAAAAATTCGTTGACCAGAAATTGATTCAGAAAAATACTAACCTGTGGTTGGGGAGGAGCTGCTAACTTCCAGAGAAGAGGGTGCATGAAGTTATTGGCTATTTTGAGAAGATTCAGATTGAGCAAGATGATTCCCCTTGGCAATGACGTCAGCTGGTTCCCTTCCAGGTTCAATATTTTCAAATTCCTGCAAAATACGTCACGTAGAAGCAACGATGGAAGTCAGTGAGCAATAGACCTTTCCCCTAATTACGTCATGGCGCAATGCATTCTGGTCCTTGTAGTTCAACCCGCGAACATTTGTTTATGTTTTGTACTGCGATCGGATGAAGTTCTGTTATTATTCAACGCTCTTTGCTCACAAAGCCAAACGCCTGACAATGGCAGAAGTAGAAAACATGGATATAAACTACGAAAAGAACGATATTTATGTTCGGTATTCGTGAAGCCAAATATTGCTGGGAGAAACTGTTATTTCTTGTGAAGGCCAAGGTTTGTCCTTCAATTGAAAACATCTAGTATTATGTCTTTGTTCATCTAAACCAAATGAATAGGGATAAGGATTATGCCAAATGTAGAAAAATTGCAAAGCCACTGTCCCTTTTTGCCAAGTGAACTGAACGTTTGTTCCATCTTTCTGATTATCTAACTCTAGATTCTATGAAATGTGATAAATTTTCAATTTTGGAGGAAACGAATTTGGTGATGTCACTATGACTTCAGGACTACGCCCCATTTCAAAACCAACCCCACCAATGAATAGTATTTGTAAATTGATTTAAAAAATCAAAATAAATCCAAACCAGTGGATAACCCTTGCAAATTGCTTTCAAGCAAGCTCTGGTACAAACGTTTTTTAGAGGTTTTTGGGAAAACAGTTTTGGTCCATCCAATTTTGAACATTTTCACATTTTTCACAATAATGGCACAAGCGTAACTGGCAACTCAAAGCCCCTTCCGAAATCAAAACTACATAATACTAGAAGCATTTTCGACTTGGTCCCCATATTTGTCACTTTTCCGTTCGTTTGGCCTAGGCCTTATCATATCGCTGCTCGCTGTCAAATTGCCGTCGGAACCACTTTCTGCATGATTTGTTTGATTATTCGAGCAAAGAGCGTTGAATAATAACAGAACTTCGTCTGATCGCCGTACAAAACATAAACAAATGTTCGCAGGTTTAACTACAAGTACCAGAATGCATTGCGCCATGACGTAATTAGAGGAACGGTCTATTGTATTAGCATTTGCATAAAAATAAGGTTATAGAATAGTAGTAAGTCACTAATTTTTACCAAAATCGCCCCCCCCCCCCTTAGAACTTTTGACACTTCAGGGGTCATGATTTTTGAGGATCATTGCAATGGCCATTTACAAAACCTAGGAAAAAATTGTCCAAAACTACCGCTAGAGGACCTTTTAAGTGGCTTGTTCCCATCATTAAAGTTAATGATAACGACTGTTGTGAATTATCCCTGGTGAGAACACGCGTATAATAAGAGCGCTAAGCTTTGTGAGCGATCAGCACAGGAACTGATTTATTCACACAGCGAATTCTTAATCAAGGAAGTAAGAGGGGAGCAGCGAGTTTCACCTGCGCAGCATTTGGTTGAAGAAGGCTTATGAATTATTCCAAGGAAATCAGGAACAAGCATTATCGAGAGAGCAGAACGATTTCACCACAGACTCGGACGAGCGAATTTGGTGATCGGAAGCATGCTACCACTAAGGAAAAGACAAAGAACGACGACTGGCTTCAATGAGCTGGAATCAATTTGCAGTTTAAAATCAGACAAAAGCACACGAATGTGCCGCAGTAAGATAACAAATAACGACTTTCTTCATATTTTTGAAGACGATGATGACTGTAGTCAACTGATAAATGTAAATATTGAGCTGCCAGTACGGTCACAGAAGACATACTACCGATTGCGAGCGACCAAGTATTCAGAGATCACATTGCCACAGATTCAGGCTGCCATTCGACGAAGTTTTCACCGCAGCAGACAATCGGGAAAAGCTTCCAACGCTTCAGAGGATGAGCACGAGAACAAACAGGGAAAAAGCACGCGCCGAAACGCCATTTGTGAGCGAGGACCTCATGAGCGACACGTCATATGCTCAAGGCTAAGACATCATTTAGTTATGAACTATTTGAACAATATCGGCTACTTGTAAAAAATCTTTTTTAAAATGACGCAGAAAAGCAAGGCGTGCTTTTCAAAGTATTTAAATATTTGAATATAATGACAAAGATATTTAAGACTAAATATTTATAGCTCAATTGACAAGAAAAAGATCATGATGAACAACATAAAGATAATTCTGTAGAAGAAATTGTTTTCTTATTCCTCAATACAGGCAAACGTTTTAACGACCATTTGCTCCTTTTTCGTATCGTTCTCGACTTTCGTTAAATATCTCCTCTGCAAACCCATTTGTTTTATAAAAAAATCATGCACAGGCATATTTGGAATAAATTTCGTTCGCTTTGGACAGTAATTTTAATAGAAAATTGATTTAAATTCACTCTTTTTATTTAAACTTTTCTCCCAAACATTGATAATTCGTTTAGCAATTTTGTTATTTGACATTACACGTTAAAAAGGAAATAACGGCATTTCTTTCCGTTGGCCCTCTGCAGAATTAAAGCAACAAGTTTGCTTGTTCTTTCCACGTCTTTTGAAACAAGACAAGATAGGTTTAAACTTAGAAATCAGCAGCCAGGAAACGAAGCGATTTGTAGAATGAAAATCTTTAATCCATCTAAGATTGTTGTATTGATCATCGTTAAAGTATCATTAGCACCGTGAAGAGGAAGATCTTGATAGCAAGACATTGTACATCTACATAAACAGAACGTATCAAAACCCAAAAAAATATCAAGAGAAAGCATTCCTTGACAAACAGAAACGTCAGATCAAAGCCCATAAGAAATAAGAAAGATCAAAAGAACAAAATACCAAGCAAAACATTAAGAAAATATAACTTTAATTATAGGTTCGTTTGAAGCGATTTGAAGAACAATTTCAGACAGACGTTTGGCTGAAATAACATTCTAGTTATTCTAGGTTCAAATATACAGCTGTGCTAATTCTTTAAAAATTTTCACGTACAGCTGCTGGTGTTTTCAAGTTCAGAAGCATGTCATTGAGAGGTCGTACCACCCTGTTGGACACTAGCTGCTTCTAAGCGCTAAATGTGCTTCAAATTAGGTTTTAAGTTCCTGGATTGAAGTTTTAGAAACAAATCTGGACGTTTTCTGTAGATATATTTGCATGTAGAAGACATGCTATGGAGGGCAAAAAAGCTCATACGAAAAAGAACACCTTGCAAACCATATCTATTGAACCGATTCAATAAAGTTTTGTTTTTAATTCATAAAAGTTTGAGTTATATAGTTTATATAATAAAAGAAATTATATAGTAAAGACAAGAATGCCAATCTATCTACCTCAAGTTTCTTAATTCTTCTGAGATGAATGCGATTCGATTGTAAGAGAGGTCGAGTTTCTGGAGGCTTTCAAGTTGAAATAGGCTGCAAATGAAGTAAAAATAACAGAATATTAAAAGTATTCTGTATTCTCATATCAAGATAGAATTAAAAACTTTATAAAATGCTTAACTTTATTTTCAGCAAATTTTCTTCTTCGCCTATTACAAATCTCTCAACATTCTATACATTTGAAGGCTATTGAACTTGCCGATTGAAATACGTATTTGATTCAAGCATTCATACCTTCTTACTTGCATTAATACGTATCTAAATTTCCATGAAGAATAATCAATCATTGTTTGAAAAGAAGGAGGGAAAGCTGCCGATGTGAAGGACACAAAACCCCGTTGGTGTTCAAAGACTTTAGGCAAGCATTGTAGCTCTGAAGGAACACAAGAGCATACATTATTACAAACCTTTGTGGTAGTGAGGATATGCAACAAAAGGACAGTACCAGCGTCTTCAAGTATTGTAGCTTTTGAATCCCTAGAGAACATAAACAATTTCAGATAATTTGTTTTTTCTGCTTCTTCAAACCAACGGAAAGCAAAGAGCTGCCTTTTTTTCAAACAAAAGTAGAAAAACAGTTCGGGAAAGACACGCTTTTGGAGCTAATAGTTTGCCAAAATCGTTAAAAGCGTGTGAACCAGACTCGTTGCTCGGATGGATAGCAACCGTGGAGCCAAAGTAGTAACAAAACAGACTTCTCGAGGCTGGACACGAAAAAAGGAAATATCTTATTTAGAAGATAGAACTGAAAATAAAGTTAGCTTTCAGGGGAGGTAAGTTGCCAGCAATGGTCTGCACAGCCAGCCGCAATAATGGAAAATCTACTGTGGTTTGCGTAGCAATTTCGTTGCCTACTCTTTTATCTGAAAGTAAAAGCATATTTCAGGTCCTAATTTTATCAGGGCAACTGAATTCCAAGACTGGATTATCTATGTTGCATTACATTGATCATTTTAGGTATAACCTTCCACCTGTACGTTCATTGAAAAATGCACGCAAAACATTGTAATTACCTGAAGGTATTTCTTGCATTGGATTATTTCTTAGCTTCAGTGTCTCTATTTGAGGGATTTCAAATAATTCCTCTGGTATATCCTGCATTGAAATGTGAATCACAAATGAAAATATGTCCAAAGCTTAAAACTTGAATAGGCAACACAATACGTGTGTAGGTTTAAAAATTGATGCTGGAAGAGCACTGAGACATCAAGATGCCACAATGACAGAGTAACTATTTTTCCACCGAATAGTTTGTAAATGATGAAATTGGTAAATAAAAACAACGTTTATAAGGTTGAAAGTTAAGGTTACGGCAGTCGGTGAAAAAAGCATACAACAGATAACAAGGTTGCACCACAGCATTTGAAAATTGAGGCTCTCTGACGGATAACAGCCCTTCATTTGCTAAAAATGATCAATACTGCCTAGGCATTTAAAAATATAATCGTATGTCCCATTGCTTGCTTTTTCATTATATGCTGTTTTCACTGCAACACTAGAGTAGTTAGGCGGTCACCACTGAGCCAAGTACTTACTTATAGAGAGTTATTCGAATTGAGCGAGTGTTTTTATATTTGAGTCTCACGCAATAACTAGGAAAATACAAAAACATATCATGATCACGTCATAATCGCATCATGATCACATCAGAAGCATCAAAATCCTGAATACGAAACAGAAATGTTGCATATGAAAATCGGTTTACGCGAGTTGTGGATCGAAAAGAGCTGCGAAAAGTAATCAGTGATTCACACATCTGTGTGCTCATGCTTGAAACAAAAGAATAATGAGCCTAGTTTCCATTGGGAATTACATTTGGATTGTAAGTAGAAAGTCTTAATTGTTTTGCAGATGGAATTTTCGCGAACAGTTGCAGATGTTCCGTTTCAATTTAGTGGCGTTGTAAAATATCGAGAAACGATTCAGACACATCATGTTTAAGTTGAATATTGCTATGACTGAACATATTAAAAAAGTGGATGAGAGCTTCATTCTTTGTGTCAGTGTTTCTATTCAAAAACTATAGGAAAATCCAGACATTGTTTCCGTTCGAAAACTACAAGAAAGGCCCAACACGGTAACAGTTTCTTGCTTAAAGCAAAATCCACTATATGCCCTCTTCATATAAAAAACTGAGTAGCTGAGTTGCAATGACAAATCTTCCAAGATGAGAAAAACATTGATTACAGGAAGATAACAGAAAGAAGGGTATGACTGAAAAAAATTTCTTAAATAAGGAGCTCTCCCTGTCGAGGAAACGAAACTTCCTATTGTAAAAACGTTTGGCAAACCAATTAGAATTCATTATCATAAATTGATTGATGTGAAAAAAATTGTATTATCAAATAAACTTTTATTTGAGAACGGAGACTCATTGTTGAAGGCGATTGCTAGCTTGTTAAAATTTATTAATTTCATTTCGTATGCATGTTATAGACAAGACCATAAACTATGTTTCTATATTAAAGAAAAGAGGCAAATAGAAGTTTTGTAAAGAAACTGAAGATAATAAATGTCATATTCCACAAGTCCGTGCTTGCTTCTTTAACAATTGACTCAAGTGATACTTTCAAGTTGAAATTTTAATCCAAAAAAGTACTAAGAAGCTTGACCTACTAAACCTGCTTGACACTTTCTTTGCTGACTTTAAGGCTAACAAATTTATCCAATGAAGTTTGCCGGAAAGAAAAGCAATTATGTTGTTCTGTCTACATGTTATCCAAATTTATTTGCATGTAGCCACATTTTGACATGCTTCAGTTTCTTGCAAACCACTTCTTGTTGTTTGCTTAGATATGTGTATTTTCGGCAAATAGATATAAAGATGACTTGCTTGGAATATCATTTAAGAAGAGGACAAAAGGAAGAGGCTTGTAGTACACCACAAGTAAAAAAGCCACAGATACATACTGACTTCTGCAGTTCTGGTAGGACTTAAGCCATGCAAAACATTGAATGTCATAATGCTCAAGTTTGATGACAGGGATCTGGTGACTGAAGCTTTTAGAGGCTTTTCGAGGATGATTAAAATACCACATCTAAAGTTTTAATATCGAGAGTGTTTTAACAAAACTTATTTAAAGTGATCAGAGAGTGCTTTACAGAAGATGAAGTTAAAAACCAAACTGAAGATTATATAAGACTTTATTGAGCTCCAAGAAATTGTATAAACGAGTAAACATGAATTTTTCTGTAAATCTAGTTGCGAATATTATTTGAAAGAAATAGTTGGCCAACGAGGTACAGCTTGTCCTGTATTGTTTAATGTCGAATTCTAATAATTTGCAGATTGGACACCAAGGTTAATGACAGCTATGGCAGAGTCTAAAAAAGTTGTGTAAAAAAGAGAAAATATGGAATCAATCAGATCTGATGAAAGGGTGGAAAGCAATGTTATTACTGATATGATGGTTAATGTTCAGCGAATTGCTCCTAATTAATCGTGAGCTGAGAATGTTGAAGATCTTTCCAAGATTTTCCTGGATAAAGTTGAGTTGTCTACAGGGAAGTTTTTGTAATTAGTTTGGTCTTGCACACCTACTAAGATAGTTCGTTAAAACAGATTACCCGCACAAATGGAAAGGCGAAGAAACATTATTGCTCCATGCATTAAGGACAAAACCAGCTCGAGAAAATTTCAATGAAAAGACTTTGGTCTAATGAACGAATGGAAAAAAGCTTGACCGGAATATCTTGCAACAAAAAAATTAATACTTCCAAAAAATCCATATCTAAAGTTCCTTGTCAATGGGGTCGGAAAAATTGACTGTTGCAGGCCAGAAAATCATAACAAGCCTGCAGCTTCTTGTGTGGGAAGCAGTTTTTTCTGGCGTTTTTGCACATGATGATAATGGTGCAGTGTTATATATTTGTATAGATATTCCCCTGATACAGAAGATCACGACGTTCTAGTCTTTTTTGCTGAAAGTTTACACAAAAGGACAACGTCTGAGTCCAGAAAGAGATTTATTTCAGAAAGAGAACTATTTAATGAACTTTAGGGATGCCACACGACTCGCCAGTTCCATTGATAAGGTAAGGGGAATTAACTTAAAATCATATATGGAGTTAGAAGACGCTACAGTTTCAGATACAGTACCAGCAATCCCTGCAGAACAGAGAAAGAGGAATTTGGCTGGTTACTGTTCTAAGAGCAAAACAATTTCAACGTTTAAAAAAGCGTGATGGTATGTCCTTGCTCTCAAGAACTCGTTTCACCTAACTGCCAAAAAAGAAAGATGACAGAATTTCATCTTAGAACAGGAGGGAGAAACAATGAAAAAGTAGCAAATGAGCTATGAGATTACCGATAGAAGTATGAGGTGTCACAAAAATATACAGAAAAGGTGTTATATTTACAAATTTCTAGGAAATTTTGCAAAATCAGTAGATCCCCATTACACCCATCTAGGCCGTTTGCCTCAGCTTGCAGAGGTGTCACGTATAGAGTAATCAACTGATGTCATGTAAAGTTAAAACAACAAATATTAAATGAGTTTTGGAGAAAATTAAAATTAAAACTTAAGTCGTGATACGTTTTTGAATCATTTCTGACGGTGATAAGACAATTGGTTTTATGTTACCAGGAAAGAAAGCACTATATTGATTTTAGGCCAAAAATTCCTGACGCAATTGTTTGTGACTCTCGATAGCAAAATGATAAAATAGCAAGAGCAATTTTTGCAGGTATTGGTGACAGCAAACACGTTAATGAGCTTTAACAGCATTTGACAAATTTCGTTGTATCATTTCAACAAGTGTCTTATACTGACGTTATGTAGCTAGAGGTTATTGGAAACAAATTTTGCGGTAACGCTTCATCAAGAGTTTTCCGCTTCACCATATTGAATTCTTTCTTGACATGCCATGTTATCAAACCATTCAACAAACCAAACATTCTTCTGTATTCAAAATAAAGATTCAGACTAAAGCATATTTGAACTAGTTTTTAGAGAGTGAGATCATCATAGCCTGCGTGCAGACTCGGGCATTTAAAAGAGGAGAGAAAGTAGAGTCTGCGCAACAGAGCCGCTTTCTTGTTCGCTGACATCAACATTTTATTCTAAGCACTAGAACAACAACTCAATTAGCGTGCAATGTTTTTTTGTAATTCTAGTTGTTCAAAAGAACAAACAGACCTATCCTATTATCCTGATACCATGCATTTATACTTCTGCTCGAAGGCGCCTCATTGGAAAACTGAAAAAAGCAATTGAAATTCCCCCAACCAATCAAATTCGGTTCCTTGATTTTGAGGAACCTGTGAACAAGAAAATCGGCCTGGCTTCGCAGACTCTACTTTTTCTCCTATTTTCAATTTTGTCAACAGAGTCTGCACGCAGGCTAGATCATCAAAGCCTAAAGATTTTTGTGCAGAATAATATTTAAAGCATGTCTCTCAGAATTAAGCAAAAACAGAAAAACATCGAAAGAAATTTTCAAATTTAATGTTTCATATCACTTAAGTTAATTTTAAAATTTTTACAAAGCTGCAATCGTTGAACAACGAGGAAACTAATAAAAGTTACCTACCGTGAAATAGTTGAAAGAAAGATTTATATGCACCAATGTTGTTGATAGTGAACTTATATCTGGTAGTCGATCTATAAAATGCGCCTGCAACAGAAAGTCATAAATGTTGAGATAAATGTTGAATATGGAATACACACTAGGCAAAAATCTAGAAAATTTGATTAAAAAAGCTAAGAATCTTTTGTTTCTACGAAACCAGCAACCTAATGATTAATGAATTGAAGGTATTTCAATGAAAACCGTTCTACGTTCTGCCTGCCACATACCAAAACTGGCAATAAACCAAACTAGTGGCCTCGAATTGGCAAGAGGTAATGCCAAGAAGAGAATGAAAGATTTCAGTATAATAACAGATGTCTAGTGTAGCAGAGGTGTTTGTTCAATGCCAAAGAGTCATCTCGGACAGCAAGTCATAGAGGATTTTCATGTGAGTTTGAAAGCATCTAGTTTATAAGAAATATATACATTGTCATTTGTTTGTTTTTTTGTTCATTCTATTGACTTCTTTTTCTCAATCTTAAAGTTTGTTATCTATAATAAAGAGTACAAAATATACCCTAACACTCTCTATAAATCGCATCCAAAGACCTTTTCTGCTAGTTTCTTCAATGACGTTCTCAGCAAAATCGTTTCCATCTGACTGGTTGAATTACTCAACCATCATACATATCAACACAACTTTTGTAATGCCATAACTATGCTGTGCTAGTTACAGAAAAATTCTTGATTTTATAATTTTTTCCATTTATAAAACCACATACTATAATGCTGAAAACTAAACTTCGAGTTTATAAGTTCGAGTCTCTTCTCACCTTCAAGACAAGTTTGGTTCCTCCATGGGCAAGGCTTTCAAGCACTGCAAGCTCGCCACTGCCAACAGCTTCACCTTCAGCAGGATCTAGACAAAGACAAAATTCCTTTATCTTGAAAATAATATGCAAAATAATATAATTTTGAATCAGAAACGACAATTGTCATTTGGTATAACAAGTTAAAGAGAAAATTTTATGATACTGAAAAATGCATATTTATAACAAAATTAATGTTTTAAGTTTCATTTCATTGCTGAATGTTGTGGGCAGATTTTTCCTTCTTTGAATTCTTTCTCTAGACACATCAAGTCCTGTCTATTACAAACCAATACACATCTACTTTGTATGTTAAAAAGAATCATTTGATTCTTGTTGTTGTTTTGCTTTGTTCTTTCTGTTATCTTTTATTTAAATTCATTGCAAGATTCACCAAATCCAGCGGGCATCCTATCCAGCATACTTTCTTTCTTTTGCATTTTGAAAAATCTAGGCAACAGCTTTAAAAAGAAATCTAAATTTCTTGCAAGTTAGAAAAATAAAGCATCATAACTTCAGTAAGTTCATTGCTTGGCTTAACAATAAATGAATGATTACGCACCAAATGGTGAAGGACTTCGAGCAGAACGTTCTCCTTGGAAAAACAGTGGAGGAGAATGTACAAGAAATAATTCTTGATCAAATTCCTCATCTTTGATTCTAAAAAGAATGAAATTTAAAAATGAATAAATGAATATTTGCTAAACCCTAAAGATTGGACAGAATACCAATCCACGTAAAAATTTATCACTAGCCAAAAATTAAATACCTAGATGCGAATTGAACTGTGCCAATGGGAAACAGCAAAAATCTCTTTGCATCTTTTAGAATTCTTACAGCAGAAATTCAGAAGACAAATTCATGAAACAGAATTAAGTTTAAAAGCTTTCAAAGGTGCATCCAATTATATAAATTTCATTGCTACTAGTAGCTGCAAAGATGAACAAATACAGCAGTCCTTATTGGAGATCTATCAAATCTCTTCTTGTCAAAGAATGCATTTCTTGCATTGATTGCAAGATTATAAAGGATAAACTATGAAAGGGATAAATATTAGAATTCAGCATTTTAAATTTTAAAATGTATTGTTAATGAGATATAAATGCTTCTCAAATGAGCAACACAAATGCAAATAGCGAGGTGTCATCTGCCCAAGTACCCAGTTTCTTCAATTTGAATTAGTTGTCGCATGTTAACTACTTATTGTAGAGCCCCTTAATTTTCTAATGATATGATAAATGGTGTATCTGATGGGGTTCATTGGGGGTGTGGCCTTCTTGAATTATGAATTGGTCAGTAAAAGTACTGAAAGGTAGATATGTCTTTGATCAAATATCATATTTTTTGCACCCCTCCCCTATTCAAGAAGGTATAGCTGAGAGCATTGAATGCTAGCTTACTTGTCTTGGTGGCTGGAATGAGATGGAGAATCTACAGCTATTTGCCCCCTGACTGTCCTTTTTGTACTTTGCGAAAGACTCTCCCTGCTATACACAGTGCCTTCTTCATCAAATGAAGATTCATACAAAGCATCATCTTCCCCAACAAAAAGTTTTTTACTTTGAGCTAGGTATGTTGGTCTAACAACTGCCAATCTGGATCGTGTTTTAGAACCAAAAGCTTTCTTTAGATTTTCAAAGTATTCATCTGAATACATTTCCAAATTGTATGCTTTTTCCTCTGTAAAAAAACAGCAAAACAGATGGATTCAAGTAAAAACATTGATAACCAAAAGAAACAACTAACTTCAATAACCAAGAATACTCATAGAGCTAGTATACTTTCAACAAAAAATTATTGTTTTCATGAACAAGAAAATAAAATGATAGCTTTATATGTATACAACGGCTATGCTAAGTTTAGTAAGATGGTAAAGTAATTAACTTGTAAGCATCATCACATGAGACAATTCTTGATTCATTGTTTCAGGAAAGACATTTTTTTCACTTCCATAAAATATTGAAGAGGCAGATGGTTCACAAGCCCCATACTTTTTGTCACTGATGTAATAATGATTATTATTACCAAACTAATATAGTTCGGGTGGGACCAAATTCTATGTAAGGTAATTTACCAAGGTAACTGTAAGGTTAGATAGGTAACTCACCAATAAGCTTTTGTCTAAATGGAATTCTTGGTTGCACATTAGGAAGATCCACTAAAAGGAAAAACATCACTTACTAATGGAGCAGGCAATCAAAAAAATTATATTACTATAGATAAAATTTTATGAAGCCCTCCTTCATTACTGGTCTCAATTGGTATAACAACAATGCACAGTGCTGCTGGTTACAAGGCTGTGTCCTGCCTGGGTTGTGTCATTCACTCACAGTTTTTCTAATTAAATTTTCCAAATCCTGTTTCCTTATCAACAAAAATAGAATATAATATTAGAGCATATAATAAGCATGAAGTACATATCTTGGTGTATAAAACAATACTGCTCTAGGCTGCTATTAATGAGCCTTATGACCCTATCAGGCAACTGTCATCAAAGCTCTGTGTACAGCATCAAGAACTGCATACAACAAATTGGTCACAAATGAGCTTAATAGGTGTCAACTAAGGTAACAATAGTCAAGATAACTAAAATCCTAGGGTATAAGTGAATATTGATGCTATTATTTAATGAGGTCACGAGAGAACATGCTCAGCAAATCCTAACTTGATCCTTTTTAAAAAGATATTCTGGTACAATATGTTCAGTGCCATCTGCTCAACAGCCAAAGCTAAAACAAAGACACTGAGTGAAACAAACCATCTTCATCTAATGCAATTCTGCTAAACTCTATATTTTCTATCTTTTGAGTAACATTTTCATTCTTTGTATAAATGTGCCATTGAGTCAGTGGCTTCTCTATAACATGCATCTGCCTTTCATTGCCACTCTTTTCTCCTCTGCCTTCTTCCAGCTTCAAAATAAAGTCATCCAGTTCAAAAATAGGGGGTGGTGGCTCATATGAGTCATCAATGAAAGCATTTAAGTCAATTTGCAAGGGCTTCTTTGGACTTCGAAATGGAAAACTATCAGCTCCTTTTGGTTTTTGGTTCAGAAACAACAGCTCCAATCTCTGATGGGATTCCTATAATGAAATATGAATGCATCATGCAATAAACAAAACTCAGCAAAACTATGGCTTTAAAAGACTAAATGTTCTAACATGAAACAAAATTTAGAATTAACCAGCCAGTCTAATCTGACTAGCGTTTCACAGGCTTGTGATTTTAAATGCTGGTTATTTTTATACAAATTTCGTCTCAAGCATTCCAGAGATTTGCCAGCTTTGCTTGTAAGATTGCTAATTTGTTCATCACATGTGTGTTTAGTTTCTTATTAAAGGGGACCCTTCAAATACTTTGCACTGACGATGAAAAATTTCAATTTCTGTCGATAAATGTTAGCAAACATTTTAGGATTTTTTACATTGATTTACCATAAATACACTTATCTCAGTCTATGTTGGTAAAGCTGTAGAAAAGCTCTAAAACAAACTACCAATTGTTATAGCTATTTGTTTATGCTCTACGCACTCACCTTTGAGGAATCATTGAGGTTGTTCTTTTTATTTCGTCGCTGTTCCTGAAGTTTATGTGAAATTACTTGCTCTGTTTTTGCGTCATTTACTGCAGCCACATTTTTCTTCTTCTTAGACTTTTCATTAGCCCCTTTGTCTGGCTTTTGAAGTGGTGGTAGAGGTCTTCGCAACAGTATTGTTCCTGATCCACTGGTCACCGCCATTTTGTTGTTATGTTGTTGTGTTGACTGCTCTGTTTCTGTGGACAGTCTTCTCCCCCGCAGAGACAAAAGAGGAGTAATCAAGCTGTCGGGATCTGGCAGTTTAATCAAGCTGTCGGGATATCAAGCTGTCGGGATATCAAACTGTCGGGATATCAAACTGTAATCAAGCTGTCGGGATCTGGCAGTTTAATCTTCAAGTATATTTTTCAAATTATCTGGTAAAATTACAATATAATGGTTTAAAGAAATGGTACAACGCGGAGAGAAGGTCTTCAGATGCCATTTAAAATTTCTATAGCAAGAGACTGTAATGGGACAATTTGCATTTTTATAACAAAATATAAACTTTAAGAATAAAAAAAAGAAGAAGTCAATAGAACAAAAAAAAAGAAACGAGAAACAAAACTACAGCACAGCAACTTTTCTGATTGATGCAGAGTCAGATCAACTATTGGCAGATCAACAAAGAACCCAAAGAGCGATTATTGAATCATGTTTTATTTGTATGGAAAATGTGTTGCTATTGGCATTCTTTACCGACAGTGGGAAGGCTACAACTACAAGAGCTTGAAAGGGAAGACTACAAGAGGAGGAAAGATCGATTTTGTTATCAATTTATCGTGTTTTTCATCTTGCGAATTCTTTATGGAGTGATGTTTTCACACAATATCAAAGTCGAAGTAAGAGAGCTTTCAAGGAGACAGTTCAAAGCAATGGAAGTTTCTGTAGTTTCTAAAGGGATCTGATAGACAATAAACAAACAACTAAACAACGAAACAAATGAACAAACCTTCACATTACAAACAAACAATTGTGATGGATGTGATAAAAGACGTTCACAACAATAACATCATGTTTGGTAATCAAACCTCAAGTTTTTACATTATTATGAAGAAACACAGAACTAGTTGTTTATCGTACAAGATAAAATTTCTAGTCGAAGAATTCGAATGTCTATGTCAGTGCCATTATCAATGTTTTAAAAAGTGTCAGGTTTTCCCCTTTTATGAAACTTTCCTAGCCAACGAGCAAGGTCTATGGCAAAATCTATTAATCACAATACTAAAACTTTGAAAACATTGGTTCTATAAAGTCTGAAACCGAACAAAATGTTCATTAACTTAACAAGGCATGACACATTGTTAAAAGGTTCCGCAACTGCCACCAACTCCATCCCTACGCTGAAAAACCATTCCCATCCTACTGGTGTTCGGCAAGATATCATGGCTCGCTTTGTTTTCAGGCCAGTTGTGGGCCACTGCTCATTTCAAAGCTTTATTCTGTACGCTCAACGGATTCATTGGGCCTAAAGTTGAGAGGGGCGGAGTCAATAAAACGTTTTTGTCCAAAACCGTTAGACTTCTGCTAGCAGTAACTCGTGATAGGTGTCTCTATTGATAATTTGATATGTGTTCTTCCGTTGCTTTTACTTGGAAAGGATGTACGAAAGGCAGGTTGATGTTGTCATACTTACGCAATTTGAGGTATGTAGCTATCTGAGTTCATTTGAATTTGAAGTAATCCTTAGTTTTAGCATGCTTTGACGATGGTTGGCCCATTATATTTGTTCGTAAATTGAAATTAATAAACTGAGATTAGTAAGACTGGGTTGTGATTTTGAGTTCTGTTGTCTTGAATTTTGATGTTTGTTTGTGTTTCTCCTCCAAACAGGACCTCTGTACATAATTCTGCACCTACTAGCTTATCGTTGCTTCTATGTTAAATGGGTATTCTATGTAAGATAAATACTGGCGAACAGACTTCTTCAGAAGAGTATCATGACAGCCTTAGCAACACATCTGTTTACATAGACACGACTGCAACCGTTATAAAGCCCCGTCAAAACGCTTTCAAGATTTCACTGAACATCGCTCACATTTGTACAGTGATGTTTAGTGATGTTTAGTGATGTTGAATTGGGGTGTTAAAATGCTCTCAACAATTCGACTCAACATTCGTTGAGCGATGAACTTCGGACTCTCAGAGATCCAAGACAAGTTTGGAAGATGAACTTGGAGACTCTTTTGCTTTAACAGTAGCTGCCTGATGATTTCCTAAGGTTCGGATTTTGGTCTTGCAACTTGCTTTGAATTGCTATCTCATCCGATTTGCTTTCACTGCCAACTGTTTCCAAGCGTTTGTCATGGTGTGCCATTACGATTTATAAAATCAAGCTTCTCTCAACTTCTTGGTTTGATCTAAGATCTTGACGCGTTGAAGCCTTTCTTTGGCGCGCAAAATCCAAGTCTAGTGCGCTTGCGCCGACTGAACATTATGTGTATGGGGTGTTAAAATGCTCTCAACATCTCTCAACAACACCTTTAAAACAGAAGTGTTGAGTCGACCCGCTGAACATTTTTGATTCTGTTGAAACTCTACTCAACATCGCTGAAAGCAGAAAGCGATAGCTTATATTTTGAAAAAGGAAATCTTGTCGGGTCTAAGGCGCTCACAAAAAGTGTTAGCGGGTGAGAATCCCATCAGCAGAAACAAAGCTTTGCTTTTTCATACTGAAAAGTTTATTGCGATAAAATTTGTGAAAAAAAGTGTTATCACAACATTCTGTTGACTGCCAATGTTTGTCATTATCAGTTTTTGGGAAACTGCAGAAATACCTCTGACCGAAAGAGAAGACCTTCTATATTTGGGTACACATTAACAGATGTCCAGCACTTTATAAACTTTATGTATCACATTTTATAAATTGGTATTAGCAACGGTAGAAGTCTCAGTGGATTGTAACACCGCACTCTAAGGGAATTTTGTTCATAAAATTCCGTTTTATTTCATTAGCTTATCTTTTACTGCAGCAAAAGGTTGATACCAAACCCTGCAAAAATTCGTCTTCATCGAGTGAAACAAGTCAGCTACATCTCATCATATTTGTTACACATCCTACTTTGCTTATACTTCATCCGGGCCAAAATTCCTCATTTAAAAACTTACTTATGAACTTAGTTTCATAATTGACCCTGATTCTGTAAAGGTTAAATCGTCAATGTAATCAAATTTTGCAGACTAAAAAATAGGCCTGTTATTGAATGAAAACAGTTTGACAGAAATTAAACGTGTTAGAGACATTTAATATAGTCTACCCAGACCCTTTTTCGTTACCCTCAAAATCTGCATTAATAGCTTTCAGTATCATTTCCACATCATCCTTCCAAACTTTTTATTAGCCGTGTCTCTCCTCCTTCTTTAAGCCATGTCGATTTTCTCAGCTTTCCCGCATTATTTTATCAGCTTGCCTTTGAAAATGATTTACTTCATTCCATGCCATGCCAAACACTTTTATTCCTTGCTCTTTTCATCACAACCCATTAACTCATCTTTTGTACAAAAAATATTAATACAACAAAGGCGCTTATATTAATATTGTTACTTTCTATTCATTTCGTGCTCTGCGTACATAAGAATATGTATTATTTTAAGGAGGATCAGAGATTATATGGAAATTCAAATCTAAAACGTCAATTTAAGGTAAGATAAGAGATGTAGATTTATAGCCAAAAGCCATTGAAATCACGTCCTCGTGAACATGCCCTCGAGGTCCTACGTTTGTTGTTCTTTGGCGTCAGCCAACTCGATAAACAGTACAGTCTCAGACAAATGCTTGTAACTGAGGGATGCTGAATCTTGTTTATCAGAGAAGGAATTTTATCATCGGACTTCGACGGACTGAGATGAGTAGAGGCATTGTACCTTAGGACATAAATCACAACAGAAGATAATTTTTATGGTTTCACAATCAGTTTTGAATGTTCAACGTAGATTTACGGCATGCGATTCCCCTTAATACTCCTGGTAATCTGTTTTTCTCATTACGGACTCAAGTCGTGGTAAAGAGGAAAGTGAACCTCAAAGCACATTTAAGGTGAGAGAGAAAACGAATACTGACATAGCCATTGTATAATTGGTTCTAACGTTTTTGCAACATTCTAAACAACTGCTGGTATAACTAGAAAATTTGGAAAAGTTTTTTGTCAGAACTGAAAAGCTTTATCAGGAACTTTGCACCCAAAAAATGCAGTAAATTTAGCATTGTTAAGACTTAAAATAACGATTGTTCGCCACCATTGCTTATCAAGTTACAAATTTACAATGGCTAAAAATTTGGTTCCACATATTAACAATTATCTTGAAATAAAAGTTTATAAAACATTCAACGGTTTGAATCCACCTTTTATGGCAGAAATATTTTCCATAAATGAATGCCTATATAACTTAATAAACTTTCATTTCAAAGTAGCAAAGCCACATTACAAAATATACTTTTTTATAAGAAACTAAGGTCCGGTGCTGGTAGGCAGTTAGTCGAATTTTCTGGCCATTTTTCTATCAGAAGTTTCTTACATGTTTCTTAAATTTCTTATGTAATGATTTTTTTTAAACGTGCTTTCAAGGTAAGTAAATAGTTCACTCACATTCTGAGATAAACTAAAGTGTTTCAGGAATTTTGTCTTCCTAAATCTATTGAGATCTGTAAACAGTTAAGCTCATTGAACTTCATCAATGTCAAGTTGAAGTCAAAACAAATTTTCAAATTGAAACTTTTTGAGTGTGCAATTTACTGAGAATTAATGCAAACTGCATGTCAAGTGTGGTGATGCAATATGGAGTGATGTTCAATGTCAAGACTGTTTCAAGTGTCAACTCGGAAAATTAAAACTGCAAATTAGAAAATTTCCTCAGCTTTTTTCAATTTTGGTCGGGTTGTTTCTTAACTTTGGAAAAATTGAGCCTACCGTTTCTTATAACCTGTTTTTTACTAACAAATTGCGTGTATATGAATTCAATACCGTATCATACAGATGTAGCAAAATATGGAACTCAGTTCCAAACAAAGCAAAATAATCCAAACTTTACAAATTTTCAAGAAAAAAATCTCAGAATTTTCATCTTGCAAGCGACTTGAAAACTTTGCATGAAATACGATTTATATTATATTTAGCATTGATTTTTATAGCTTGAGTATGTATAGCTTAAATTGTACCAACTTTGAATGAAAAAAGAAGAAAGGAAAAAAACTCAAAGGGAATTGACG